TGGTTACTTCCTTTCTGCACCTACAGGAAACCTCTGCAGGGGGGTGGGGATTTTGGCACTGCTTTTGAGGGTTCCTAATCACTCTGCATCAGTTTTCCCGAGTTTCTAGCTCAAACGTAGCGATTTCGAAGTTGTTCATCGAAACTGCAAGTCGCCAAGTTCACGTGACGCGGGCGCTAAATGTGTCCGACAATCAAGAGACACTCACGCTTCTGACTTCCACCCTCACACGTGGGCCAGGCATCGCGAAGGCATGCGAAGCTGTAGCTGTACGTCAGCGGTGAAACATGTATGCGTTATCCAAATGCAGCGACGTGCTCATACTCGTACGGCTCATGCTGTCCGATGCAAAGGAGACTCTGCGACGCTTTACAGCAGGCGCTTGTTGCAATCTGACCTGATACAACTCATGCCATGCAATGCGGGTCGCGCGCCATCGACGTAGCGTGTCTCGACGCGGCCCAGTCGTGAATGTGAGAGCAGGTAAACTGCGTGTAGTCCTCCGTGCATACGCTTCTCAATATGCCTGATTCGAGCTCAGTGCAGTGCACTACCGCCAAGGTTGATTACTGAATGAGCTCTCGTGATAGTAGTAATCATCCTCAGACATGAGGAAGCCCTGGTTACTTCTTCGCAGATACGAGGAAGACACGAGCTTTCTCCGCGGCATTGCCTTGCAACGACGAGATGAAAGATCGTGCATACCACTTGTCATTGGATGCCGAATCTAGCGGAGATCTAGAGCGACGCCAGTCAGCTTCTCGTGCTTTCACTTGAGCCATGCTCGTCCAGAGTGTGCAGGAGGAATCGATGTGATCAGAAGTCCGTTGAATGCATTAAGCCCAGAAGGCTTTGAACATTAGAGGTACCAGAAATAGTAAAAAATTGTATGGAAATCATCATGTGATGTGATGGTTTATGGTGCTGGTGGGTGAAAGTTTGCATGCTCACCTTCTTGGTCCATCCTACTGCCTAGCAATTGGCAAGCACTCCGATCTGCCGTCCGCAAACCATCCTTCGGATGTCGCTTGCTCAGGCGAGATGCCGGCCGGACGCAGCAGGAAAATTTCGTTGTCGTGGTGGTGTGTAGGACATTGGAAGGATTTTTGCAGGAGAAGATTTTGGCAACAGCGAAGTTAGCGTGCTGACTAATCCCGTCTTCCCGTTCTCCGTCCTCCGTCCTTCACCTGCGCCTGCACCTGCTTCCGTACTTGAACAACAGTCCTTCACAGCCTGTCCGAGTCTTCATACCGTATCTCCGAAGATGCCTCTGGGCACCGCTCAATTTCAGAAGACTTCCAAATAGGGTTCGTCATCGTCGGATGAACAGAAGTGCCCCTAGAATGTCAGCAGTCACGAGGTTGACCAAGGCTGGCGACCACCGCTGCAATGGCTACACCTGCTCATTTCGACCTCGAATCGCTCAGCGGACGCGTCTCCGAACACTTCTGCTTTCACGCAAGTTCTCAATCAGAGACATGCGGGATGCATGATTGCTGCCAATCCAGCCAAGACTTTCCAGGGTTTGTCAACAACTCGGCCTGTGACCAAGTCTCTGGTCATGGCAGACAATTCCTAGTGGAGCCAGGTTTTCGATATCGTAGAAGCTCGTGAAGACGTGGGCTGACCTTACGACAATCACCTTCGGTCTCTGCTCATCCTGAACCGGGGAGCTCGAATAGTGACGTCAAACAACAATAAATGTGAGCGTGCCGCAGTATGTGGCCGCGAGGCAGCCGGTTTTGTCAATGCTTTTGAGAAGCGCTCGGATAAAGGTAGGTTTTTATCTTGGAGTGAGACAGCTTTGCATTCGTCCTCGTTCCTGCATCTCATTTCGCTGCACTCAGGATGTCATTTGACACCCTAGTGCATGGCCGCACGGCTGAAACGACCACACCTCGAGGTGCGCAAGTAGATGAGCTCGAACAAAACTTGAGGCGGATCGAGAGTGACTTTATCATTGATGCATCAAGATTGAAGCAGATAGTGGCGAGGTTCCAGGAGGAACTCGAAGATGGTAAGGGTCAGCAAGACGACGACTTTCTTCCCTAAGCTGAAACATAGCAGGACTACAACGAGATGAACAGAACATTGTACGCCGAATAAGCAAAGCTGATACATCATGAAGTTGATCGATAATACAGCCCATGAATGTTACCTGGGTCATGGGATGGCCAACGGGGCAGGAGACTGGATCGTACCTCACTTTGGACCTCGGTGGCACGAATTTACGAGTCTGCTGGAACGAGCTTCATGGACGCGAGCATGACGTCGATGTCACTCAGGACCAGTACAAAATTTCCGACGATATCAAAAGTGGCAACGCTGAACAGTTATGGTCTTACATCGCTGACTGCTTGGCGAAATTCATTGACAAGCACGAGCTTGGCAGTTCCAATAAGGAGCCCATTCCGTTTGGCTTCAAATTCTCATATCCGGCTTCCCAGCAGTATGTCGATCACGGCATCCTTCAAACATGGACCAAAGGCCTTGATATTTCTGGTGTCGAGGGAGAAGATGTGGCCGCTCAGCTAAAACAAGCTCTTAAGAAAAGAGACTTGCCCATACGGCTGGTTGCGCTCATCAACGACACCACAGGAGCAATGATCGCGTCATCATATCACGATTCGGAGACCAGGATTGGGGCCATCTTTGGTACGGGATGCAATGCCGCGTACATGGAAGACGTTGGATCAATACCGAAACTCAAAAGGACCGATCTACCTGCCGATGGCCAAATGGCTATCAATTGTGAGTATGGGGCATTCGATAACGGCCACCATATTCTGCCACGGAACAAGTATGATCTCCAGATCGACGAGGCTTCACCCAGGCCAGGAGAGCAGACATTCGAGAAGCTCAGTGCAGGGCACTACATGGGTGAAATGTTCAGGCTCGCCATTCTTGACCTATATGAGCAAGGCCTACTGTTCACGGGCCAAGACGGCGACAAGATTAAAGAACCATATGTGCTCGATACTGGCTTCCTTTCTCTCATCGAGGATGACGACTCCAGTGAACGCGCAGAGACACGGCAAGCATTTCAAAAGCAACTCGATATTAACATTTCGGACGATGAGCTCAACCTCGCCAGACGCCTAGCCGAAGTAATTGCTACTCGAGGAGCCAGGTTATGTAGCTGCGGCGTTGCCGCGATCTGTCGTAAGAAAGGCATTACTTCCGGGCACATTGCTGCCGATGGGAGCGTGGCAAACAAGCGTAAGTGCATCGATATCCTCATATATGAGTCATTCTGCTGACTTCGTGACAGATCCAAAGTTCAAAGCTCGATGGGCTCAAGCAATGGCAGAAGTTCTTGACTGGCCTGAAGACCGCAAGGAAGACCCAATCACTATTACAAGCGCTGAGGATGGATCTGGGATTGGGGCGGCTATTATTGCAGCGATGACAGATGCTCGAGCCAAGAGAGGTGATGTTGTTGGTATCCAGGATATAAATACAAGGGGACTGTCGCAAGCGAACACGTGAGAGGAGCAATTCCTGGTATTTTTGCGCTGGCATAAGTAAGAGGATCCGATGGCTGGCAGCAAATTGCATATTGAACATGGAGGATTTTCAGGGTAGTTCTGCTATTCCATGAGTCACAATGGTGTCAATACTTTATATAGTGTCGTAGAGCGTGAAGTAGAAGAGAGGAAGTGAAGCGTTAAAGGTGGGTCTTCATATTGTTGCCTGAGGCAAAAACGCTAAATAAGCTTCACCTTTTCAGCTCTTTGCTGCCTGCGTCCTACGTGGACTCCATCCTCTTTGCTGCATTCAGTTCGACATCATCGATTTCATCATCCCAAGCCTGGCGTAACACGACTTGTTGCATAAGAATCAGAAACAAGCAATGGCAGTGATGATGGCAAAGCAGACGAACCAGCCTGCATGCCTTCCTTCGACCATTCACCTGGCGCTAAGACCGGCGACGCACGTGCAGCGGTGATCCTTCTCAGGCACCATCGCCTGCCTGGAGTCCTCACTCCTTATCGATAAGCTTTAGACCGGTGTCTGTTTGCAGTGTACGCCCTCCAATTCAAGCTTGCAGCACATCCGCTGCCTGGGACGGTTCCTTCTCGCTCTGGTTGGCTAGCTCACGTTCGACTCACAATACTCAACTGGCTCGCCACATCTCCCAGGCACAAAGTGGAGCGTGTGCCATAAATTGAAACCATTCATTGGGTGCTTCACATGCATCGAGCCGGACCTCTGTTGCCTTGCTGCTCAGCCCGTGCCACTACCTCACATCACATACGCTCACATATAAGTATAACCCGTTGTTCACTTCGACTACCTCTGTTTGTTCATATCCCCCTTGCTTCAATCGAGCTGACAAAGGGCATCGACGATCTCCTTTTACCACAAATTCCCTACAGAGACCGCCATTGATACTCACCGTTAAGACATGGCGCGGACTAAGCAGACCGCTCGCAAGAGCACTGGTGGTAAAGCCCCTCGCAAAGTCCTTTCCGCTAGTTCTTGTGGCCGACGTACTGCAGATGGAGCCATTGTCGACAATCCCGACTTGAACGAAGAAGAGCAACAGAAGCTCAAAGAGATCGAGGAGGGCGAGATGCAAGCCTCGTTGAAGTAGGTCTTCTATTCACTGTGCGATACCCAATACTGACTCGTCGAAGGCATATCGACAAGAAGCACACCGAGCAGGGCAAGGTCTTCTACACCGAGACGGTCGATGAAGAAGTGCCAGACCAAGTCAACTGGTGGAGTCAATTTGCGCTCTGTCTCGTCCGTCACATGAGTCACGACAATAGATACGTCCAGAAGACCAGTCTGCAAGTCAACTCACAACACCTAAAGGACATTCTTCGAGACACTATCGACAGCTTTCCAGGCATCTCCTTCCACACCAAAGAGATCACCATCGATGCTCCTTACCGGGTCCTGTTTCACTACAAAGATGAGCTGGAAGCAGCTGGGGAGAAGCTCGAAGATGAGGATGCCATTGCTCACCTTGATCTACTGCTCGAGTTCATTCATGAGGAGTTCAAGGATGCCATCGAAGAGAGCGATAACTTGCGTGAGCAAGGCTTGATGTCTTATGAGCATCTCTGGACAATCTTCCGCCCTGGTGACCTTATTTATGGCACGGTGCTCGGCCAACCACGAGCGTTCCGTCTGAACAGCTACCAGTACGTTTGCGGCAATTTCCCAGGTCTGCAATTGAGCACCGAATTCGTCGACTTTGACGGAGAAGACTTCGGAACCCGGGACGGCGCACAGTTTGTTGCTGCTTTCGGCGGAGCCCAGCGCATCGATGGACTGGAAGCTTTTCCGATGAAGTACCACAGTGCACCTGAGGATGTTCAGAAACAGCTCGTGGCTCGAGGCAGACGCTTCGAAGAGCTTGCTGGAATGCACTTCAAGCGCTACGCCAGCATTGCTCTCGAGCACACGCCTTGCGGACTCAGTCGGTACAACGTGGACGGCCGAGTCGTGGTCGATGTCAAGACATATCACCGTCTGAATGCTAATCGCGCGTTCACTGTGAACGCGTTCAAATCGGCCGAAGACAAGCGCAAGAAGAGGCGTCGTGCAAACAACAATGACTACAATTACGACTACGACGACTACGACGATGGCAACGAGGATGTTGGTACCGAGCTCGTGCCAATCGATGTGCTCGATGTTGACCCTATGACCGACGATCAATGTCTCCTCGCCAACGCCATGGTTCGTGGCTTCTCTTTCACTGAGAAACGCTGGTTCGAGTTCTTCGTCGATAAGCTGTTGCCACCAGCCTGGAACACCAACTGCTTCGATCAACTCGTCCTTCCTTCAGCACAAAAGGACCTCGTCCAAGCTCTCGTGGCCAACCATGTCCAGCAACGCAGCGACTTTGATGACATCGTCAAAGGCAAAGGCAAAGGACTCATTCTTGTTCTTCATGGCCCTCCGGGGGTGGGCAAAACATTGACGGCTGAAACAGGCAAGTTTCCCCCTTTCCCCATCCCATCCATTCATTTACATTATACTGACTTGGAAAAGTCGCGGAGTTCTGCAAGAGACCACTGTACATGGTCTCTTCTGGTGATCTCGGCACCGACTCTGAACGCCTCGACGAGCGTCTAACCAAGACCCTCGACATGGCTTCAACCTGGAAAGCCGTCCTCCTCGTCGACGAAGCAGACGTCTTCCTCGAGCGCCGCTCCCTCCACGACATGGAACGCAACAGCCTCGTCTCCATCTTCCTCCGCGTCCTCGAGTACTACGAAGGGATTCTGTTCCTCACCTCCAACCGAGTCAACACATTCGACGACGCGTTCAAATCCCGCATCCACGTTCCACTGAAGTACAACGACCTTACTGTCGACAGCCGCACGAAGATCTGGAAGCATTTCCTAAGAGAAGAAAACGCCATAGACGACGAGGGCTGCAGAGCCTTGGCACAAGCTGACATCAACGGCCGCCAAATCAAGAATGTCATCCGCACAGCCAAGAGTCTGGCACAGTTCAAGGGCGAGAAGTTGGATCGCGAGAAGTTGCAGCAGGTCATCACTATTCAGGAGGAGTTTGAGAGTGAGTTGGACAATGTGGGTTGGGACAAGGTGAAGAAGGTTCCGGAACAGATCACGAATGGAATCAATGGACATTGAGGATATGACTTTGAGGTAAAGGGTTCGAATGCATGAACGGCCGCGAGCGGAAATTTTGGAGCTGGGTACAATGACTGTGCTAGGTAATGTGGCATTCTACAATGAGACTAATCATACATACAGTCGTTTGGCAAGCTCTTTTTCAAATTCTCAAGTCGCTACCCGTACCCTTGTTGCGTTTGGGCCGAAGCGGGCTCGATCATCGAAGCACGGCCGGCTATGTCAAAAGATTTGCTCACGCGATCGTCCGGTCTCGTGTCCTCTTAGAACAACCATAATTCGTCCAACAGAGCAGATCTCGCCCACTTCGACAGAGCCTTCCCTTTCTTGGCTTTGCGGAGGGTGTCGACAGCCCATGTCGTACGGATACAGTAAGCTCCATCCGGTCCAAGCTCTGGAAGCGTTACACCCAGGGCTTTTTCCAGTTCCTCATGGCGGAACCAACCATCCTTTTCGAATAGGAAGCCGTTTGGGAGGCCGGCCATAATCTCAGGATCCTGTTGCCAATGCTCAATTCGAGTGACGTGGAGTTTTGGCGTTTCGAGACATGCGTCCCCGGACAATGGAATGCGAAGAAGGCCACTGCTGTCGCTCTTGTTGATGTTCGATGAACGTGGAGGAAGCTTAGGCTCCTTGCGTGCCTTGATGTCAAGGTAGTACTGACGGAGTTCGTCACGGTCGATTTTCAAGCCCCATCTTTTGAGTTCGGCGTCCGTGTCCGAGACAAACCATATAGGAGTATCGACGACCTCGAGGAACTGCTGGACCGTGTCGACTTCGCGGAATGCTGTCGGATATTCATGGCCATACTGATCCTTGAGCACACGGTTGTGCGGACCAATTGTCAAAGTCGGACAGTGTGTGTCCATGTAGGCCTGTACCAACGCATTGGCAACGTTGTCGAGCCACTCTATCATTGGCAGATAGCTATTTTGTGTGATGACAATCTGGTCGTTGGTCCTCCTTTCTTTTAACAGGCGTTCCATTCTCCGCACGGCAGGAGAATGGTTTGAAGCCCATTGCGTGACTGCGACATCGATGTTGATCCGCGTATGACTCAGAGCTTTCCAAAGGCCACGCCGGGCAAGGTAAGCGAAAACGAAGGCAGGCATACTTGGTTCCTCTGGCGTGCCGGCAAAGTAATGGGCGTCCACAAGACTGTTTTCGCGTTCTTGAACCTTCCGCAAGAGCGCTCTGTCGTTCTCAGGGGCGTTCACCAGCTCGCGAAAGTTTGTAGACACGTCACGGCAGCGCATGATATCTCTGGGTCCAAGGCGGGACAGGATGTCGAGCTTCAGTTCGGCAGGGAGGGGTTCGATGGTGGTTATTGCACCTGCCTTAGGAAATGCAGCGTGCTCTTCCTCTGTATGGCTAGTATCGCCACAACTCTGGCAGATCAGTGGGTCAGCCTCTTGTTCTAGGTTTCCAGAAAAGGGGAGTAGATCCCACAGGTTACGTGGGATGAACTCCATCGTTGGAATTTCGTGGATGCTCCGAGTGACTCGGAGTGAGGTTGCGTTGAGGTTACTGAAGCGGTCCAGCGCCGCCTTGTTGCGTTGCAGTGTTGACGCAGAAGCTCGTTCTGAGTGCAAGAACGTTCGGGGCTGTCTGTGTGCTTGATTTATGTTCAGACGGAGCTTCAATTGCAACGTTACGAGAGGTCTAATATATGTAAGGCTTTTGTGAACAGCACAGGTCTATACAAAGGAAAAGCTACACAGTACCTTTGATGCAAGATGAACAATCCAGGTATACGCGGACACAGCTCAGGCACAAAGGAGACATAAACAATGTCGCCCATACAAGGTTGACTGGTCAGTTATACGGGAAGATAACTTGGGCACAAATGCGTAGAGTAAGCGTAAGTTGCTGCGGGGACAAATCTAGAGGTACAAATACGGGATGCAGAGATTGTGTGAAGTTGAAGCGCGAATGTTTCGTTTCGATCCTATCCAAACAAATGAGCTCTAAGCCATTCTATGTTACAGTCTATTCCTTATGATCTCTGATCGCTCCAATCAGTACGTTGCAAGCTTACCACAAGTACAGCTGCTCGAGTATAGCAGCTCTCTGCCAGTCTGTCAGAGGAATCTTCTTGTTGTGCTTTGCCTTCTTAATCAGATCGTAAGCCCATTTCGTCCTTACACAAATTCCCACACCACGAAACAGCTTGGGGAAGTTCTCTCCTAGGATATGAGACAACTTCCACGTGCTGCAGCGACCACCAACACTCTTGAGCCATTCATCGCGGCCGGGAGATTGACTTTCAGGGTTCTGGTTCCAATACATAAGAGAGGTAATGGGGAACTCGGGCTTCTCAAGGCATGGATCGCCGGAAAATGGAATTCGTAGAAGACCATTGCTGTCGCTTTTGTCTCTGACGGATGGAGGCCAAGCCGGGAGTGCGGGTTCCTTGCGCGCTTTAATGTCCATGTACCACTGGAATAGTTGCTCGCGGCTTAGTGGTAAGCCGAACACCGAGGTCAGGTATTGCAGACTGGCGAAATCTTCGGGCGTGTCGATATGTGCGATGAAGGCGTGGTGATTGTAGACGTCACGCATCTTCCGTGTCCAGCCGCTGCGCTTGGGAGCTGAGAGGCCGGGGTAATGTTCGTCAATGTACGCCTGAACTAGACACTCTCCGATCTTTGTCAAATAGCGGTAGATTGGCATAGGCCAGATTTGGCGGCCATCGCCTAGCAATTTCTTAGCCTTGCGGGAGCAATGATTAGCGGTCCACTGAATGACCGCTGTTCGGATCAATAGGCTTGTGTGCTGACAGTCGTTCCAGAGGCCTCTTCGAGACAAAAAGGTGAAGAGGAAACGAAGCAGACTGGGTTCTTCAGGGGAGCCAAGGAAGTAGCTACTGTCCGCAAGATATTGCTGCTCAAACTTCTCTCGAGTTGGAAAGAGAGCGGTTTTGTTGTCCGGTGCATCGACGAGCTCTTGGCTGTCCTTGGATACGCCACGGAAGCGCTGGATTTCAGTCGGAGAAAGCATGGACAGAATGTCAAGCCGTAGCTCTGCTGGAAGGGTTTGAATGCTCGTTTTTGCGTCGGGGTCAGGTATGGCGGCGTGTGCCTCTTCTGTGTGGCCAGTAGTGCGGCAGGTTTCGCAGAACTTGCGGCCACCATTCTGCCATGGATCGTTGCAGTTGGCGAGTGCTTGGAAACGATTTGAAGGAGTGGGTGCTAACTTCTTAGTCAGCGCTTTCACGTTGATCCAACTGCGTGGCATGATGGCAACTGTGCCGGTGTTCACGTTCAGTCGGGCTGTGGTTCTGAAGCTGTCCGGCAGCTATGTTATCGAGTTTGTGGGGTTTCGTGCAGAAGGGCTGTTGAGTCTCGTGGTGGTAAGTTGAGCAATCGATACTCGAAGTGGACTGTCTGCTTGATTTAGTTTGAGAAGGTGCTCGCGTTGGAGGCAGCCTAAAGTCCTGAAGTATATGCATAGCTGAGCATTGTGTGAATTGTGCAGATCCGAGGAAAGGCAACTTGCATAATGGCATAGTAGTGAAAAGCGAACAGCCAAGCATAGGGCTATAGCCTAGGCACCAACGTATGGACAAAGCGTGATGAGACACAAAGCCATTGTGCAAGATTTCGGATGACTTGAGGTGCACACCTGCAAGTCGAGCCTTTCGTTAGTCAGCAATCACTTTTACATTAACATACATACTGTACACGAGCTTTATTGGCACGCAATCCGTGGAATATCTCGTCCCGCCGGCAATCATGTGCTGTTGACCTCGGTCTTGACGCTCCTGCAAAGCTTTCTCCTTTGTCCAGGACATTAGCTCCACCTCACACACGGCCTTCGAAAGCCCAGATGATTTACTCTCCCCCAACAAGCGGCTTCCTCTCATCACGATTCCCTTTCCAGTACGCCCAACCTCCAGCAATAGCGTTTATCGCGCAGAAGCCCATCGTCACGCCTCTGGTTACTCCTCTCGCAGTGATTTTCTGGCTCAACTTGACTTGTCTCCTTCTCGCGAGAACAAAGTATGCCATTGACCACGCACCCATCAGTCCAGCGCTGTCCTTTTTGAAGCCTTGTACGTTGAGGTAGGAGGAGAAGAGTAGGATCGGTGGGAAGAGCATGGGGAGTGGTTGGAAGGGTCGAAGGTGTTGGGCGGTTATGAGAGTTGCGAGAAGGGTCGGAGGAAGCGGGTTCTCTGGATATGGGTCAACATATGCGCGATGGATAATGTGCTACAAGATCGTTATGGACATACCACCCCATGCTTTGGCATAGCTGAAGAGACCTTGTTTGGCCTCTTCGGCATCTTTCGGTAGCTCGCCGGGCATCGGCATTGTGTACGTCGGGGTAGTTTGGGTGGTTTTCGGATACCAACGCGACTTCTGCGGTCCAATGGGTTCAGCTTGAAACAGCAGGCTTTCACATGCAAAGTGGATGTCCGGGATGAAGTGAAGGAAAGTGGTTGTTGATGTCATGCTATGCGCCGGAACAATGATACGCCGACGAGATCAAGGCCCACCTTCCGCGGAAGCGATGGACCCTCTCGACTTTCTGGCTGATCTGTCAACAACATTCGCCCGCCTTCACCAACAAACATCAGAATTTCAGAACGACACCCGGACCAACCTACCACCAACCCATGACCTAACTCCTCTCCGTGGCACGACCTCCAGCACCGCCGGCGCCCTTGCGCCCACGACTACCGCCGCAATACCAACATGTCCGAGAAGAAGGCGCAAGCCAACGGCCATCACACACATAACGATGGCTCCTCCTCCCGCGCCTACACCGTTGAACAGAAAGCCGCAGTGATCCGAGTGAAACGCTGCGGCCCCACAGACTTCTACGATATTCTCGGCCTTGAAGCCTCGCGAGCCACGGCAACCGACAGCGAGATCAAAAAGGCTTATCGCAAATTATCACTTCTCACGCATCCGGACAAAAATGGCTACCCTGGCGCAGATGAAGCGTTCAAGATGGTCAGCCGCGCTTTCCAGATCTTGAGCGATGCGGACAAGAAGGCGAAATATGATCGATTCGGAGGGGATCCTGAGTCGAGAATGGGCGCCGGAGGGGGCGGAGCATCATCGAGTGGTGCTAGTCCGTTCAGTGGGTTCGCGCAGCAGAGGAGGGGTCCCATGTTTGAAGAGGAAATCAGTCCCGAGGAGCTGTTTCGACAATTCTTTGGCGGCGGAGGCGCGTTTGGTGGTGGGGGACCTTTTGGCGGAGGCTTTGGAGGGCCGGGATTCGTTTTTTATGTCGGAGGCGGGCCTGGGATACGTGTACACCAATTTGGAGGGAATCGGCCCCGAAGGAGACCGCATAATCATGAAGAGGCGCAGCAAGGGCCGACGAGCATGTTTCAGGCATTGCAAGGACTATTACCACTTCTACTGCTTTTTATCTTGCCCTTGATCAGCAGCTTTTTCTCCGGGTCAGGGCAACCGAGTGGACCATCAATGCGGTTTGACGCAGCAGTTCCCCCTCACACCGAACAACACACAAGCGGAAAGTTGAAAGTGCCGTATTGGGTGAACCCGACCGAAGTGCGAGATTTTACTGTGAAGAAATGGAAAAACTTGGACGAGCAGGCCGAGAGGAAATACATCATCAACTTGAACGCGGAGTGCGAGTGGGAGCAGAGTCAACGTCAGCGGTTAGCGAACGAGGCTATGGGCTTCTTCTACACCGACCAGGTCAAATTGGATAGGGCGAAGAAGATGGAAATGCCCAGTTGTAGAAGATTGGAGGGGCATGGATATCGGTTGCCCAACAGGTATTAATGATGACTTGCATTGAATTAGGTTGCACTGGCAAAGCTCAATTGTATATGACTTGCTCTTCTGTGCTGCTGCGTTGAAGCGTTTCTTGGGCTTTCCGTAGGGATGATCACCAGTTTTGGTGTCGATTATGCACATTTTTACCTCTTCTCAGCCGCTTCGGCAATCTCCTTTTGTGGGCAGTGTGGATGGAGTACGCTTCAGCTCGGAGCAAGTCACTATTGCACAATCGCGAAACGAGACACATGGGACATCGCAGCATCGCGTGTCCAGCGCAAGGACAAGTTACTAGCGCACGAGACCATTCCCTTTGTCTGCCTTATGGCGCCGAGGAACATGAGACTTGTTACTTGCTTGACACATTTAGTTGGCGGTGCACAAGGGCTTTGTCTGGCCCTGCTCGCAAGTGATGTGCTCTCGGGGCTCGTGCATAAAATTGTGAATCGTGTCTTTCCACGTCTTGTGCATCAGAGTGGTTGTTCACCTTCCACACAAGCACTATGTGCTCTTGTTACTGTCTGCTCTCCACATTGAAGGATACAAGTACTGCTGTCCTTCTCCCCTCTGGATCTCTCATCAATCTACACAAACACGAAGCCAACTTTCCGCAGACTACATCACGCAAAGCTCGATAGTCCAGAATCACATCCAAACACTGGAACCACAGACGGCCTTCCAAAAACAATGTCGAGTCCGACACCACCAGCAAAGAAGCTGAGGACAAGCACAGCTGCCCTCGAGGGGCACATACACGATCCTCTTCCAAAGTTCGATATGGACGAGATCTATGATACCACACTTGTCAAGATCATCGTCGGCAATGAGAAGTCCGGCATCAAGACCTTCACAGTGCCGCGCGAGCAAGTCTGTGCGCACTCGAACTACCTCGCAGGCGCGTTGAAAAGAGACTTCAGAGAGGGCAAAGAGAAAACGGTCAAGCTCGAGGACTTCAACCCACGATCTTTCGCCATCTTCCTGACCTTCATCAATACCTGCAAGATCGCTCTCTCCTGGCCGAGCACTGGCATGACATCCTTTAACCCTTATGAGCCAACAACACGGGGATTCGACATGCTTTTCGGTTGCTATTTCCTTGCAGATTACATCGGCGCTCGAGGGTTTCGACAGCGCATCTTCGAAACAATTCAGATCAAGTTCATCGATCACGGAAGGATGCCTTCGGGCGCCGAGATTCGAGAAGCCTACGAAAAGACCCCAGAGAACTCCCAACTCCGCAGACTCATCGTCGATACCGCGGTTTCGCGTGACGTTCCGAGCTCGGACCCTGTCAGGTTCTATGGCGATGAGCCTCCTCCGATGAAGTTCGTGGCAGAGATGCAATTGCGAGCCAGCAAGCACATCTCCGCTTTGACGTGCTACCACTGTTCTCCTCACACTCCTTGCGACCATGAATGCGAGTCGAAAAAGCATACGAGGGAGGACGCGATTTCGGACGGGGTCTCGATGTGGTGCGATTATCACGAGCATGACACTGAAGAAGAGAAGGAGTTGTGTAAGTGGAGAGCTAGGGCCCTGCAGGAGCGTATCGATCAGGAGGCGAGAGACTACCAGGGAGAAGGAGACGACGATGATGAGGACTTATAGAGAATTGCGTTTGATGATATTCTGAGGTGGCGCAGCAATCCGCAGGAACATTTGAGGCGTCGATTTGCAAATGGGAGGAGGACCGTTTGATTGTTGGCTGAGCGGTGCCTCATAGATTCTCCCATTCGCAGATCTTCATAATTGGTCCGTGTCCTTGCTTCTCCGCACGACAACTGCAAAGAGTGTTCAGCTCATTATTTTACATATTGTCCTGAAAATTGTACACGTCAATCTCATTCTTGTTGTTAGCACTGAAAGAACCATAATTTTCCCCCAATGTCGCTTTTGCGAAATCCGAGCTGCCAGCCTCATAACTCGATCTATCCTATAAACTCGACAACAAGCCATCATGGTCAGCTTTTCGGATCGACCACGCCAGCACATAGACCGAGCAGATATATAGGAGCTGCTATCGGTCACCACGTACCTTGTCGCTGGCTTGATAAGGAATATAGGTGATGAGAAAATCTTTGTCGCCGCCCTCGGAGCTCTCATCCGAATAGTGGTAGAGAATGTAACGGCACTCTTCCCAGGGGAGTTCTCAAACGAGTTGGGACATTGAGACATCATCAGGACCCATTGTGTCGAGTACGACGTCGTAAGTATCGCTGATCGTGAAGACGATGTATTTAACAGGTAATGCTTTCGATTTGAAATTGTAAATTAAGCCTTCATTTTCCGGTCCAAGGAAGAAGCTGTTTGAGAACGAGTTATTAGGAAGAGATCAAATGGTACGAGTTTTAAGACTTTGCTCACTCAGGCATGGTGTTTTGGAGTTACTGTTCTCCAGTCCGTGAGCTGGACGGCAGCGCCTACTTGGAAGACTTAACGCAATTGCTAAGCTGGGTGACGAAGAAGCGGGCTGTAGATCTTGGGACTTGTGAAGTGTAGAAAATCAGTTCAATCGGACAGCCTGAGCTCGGAATTAGCTGTTCATTTATACATGCTAGTCGGTCAAAGCTTCCACGGCCACAAAAGTCGACAGCTCTCAAATAGACTTTCGGCATGCATGACAAGATGCAGCTCGGGGAGGCCGGCCGGCGAGCCCGTTACTGACGTGGCTTGCTGTCGAGGAGCATGCCTTCGATTGTGCGTCATAACATGCGACGGAGCAGTAGCACGTGCTCAGGTACGAGAGATTCCTCCTTGGTTGTAGCCCACTCATAGCTCTCTTAGACTCTTGGCCCGCATATTGTAGATAGGACTGTGTTATCCCGATGTGTCCCTAGTCTCTCACAGCTTCGATCGAGTCCTCTCCACTGTGTCGATATCGTAGAATGCAACATACTTCTGCATCATCCTCGCCTCGTCGTCCGTCATCTTTAGCTTCGCGAGGGTATCTGGGCCACCGTTGATAACTTTCTTGACCAGGACTTCAAGCTTCTTGCCATTGACGTTGTAAGGAATCTCGTCCATCTCGAAGATGAAATGTGGAACATGTCTTCTGCTCAGATCGCTCGCGATTTTCTTGGTGACAACCTCCGTCACCTTCGCAGATGAATGTATTGTCCCCGATTGTGCCTCTTCCGTACACTTCAGGAATAACAAAACCTTCTCTGTGTCGTCCTGATATTTCCCATCCGATCTTTGTTGTCCCACGACCAAAGCATCGACTATTCCAATGCTCTTCACTTCCTCGCTCTCCAGTACAGCATAGATTTCTGCGCTCCCGAATCTTATTCCGCTAGGATTCAACACGCCATCACTCCTGCCCAGCACGTACGTTCCTCCAGTTTCCGGATTCATTCTCACGAAATCTCCATGTGTCCAGACGTGTTCGAATCCTTCAAAGTATGCCGCATGGTATCTCTTCTTGTCTGGATCATTCAAAAACATTACCGGCATGTTCGGAAAAGGTTTCTTGCAGACCAGCTCTCCGCGTTCACCAGGTTTGGCAGGCTGTCCTGCTGGGTCGAAGGTATCCATATCCATTCCTAAGGCTTTGACTGCACATTCGCCGGGATAAGAGGGAAGAGACCGTGTCCCATAGAAGAAAGACCCGCAGAGTTCAGTCCCGCCAGAGAATTGTATTTGGCAGATGTTGGGGCCGAAGCATTCGATGAGCCAGGTTGCTAGGGAGGACGTCAGGACTGCACCAGTGGAGTAGATCGAATGCAACTTCGTCGCGTGGTCTTTCACTTGGACGTTGTGCTTCTGAAGTTCGGCATAATATCTTGGTCCCGCGCCGAAACCTGTTATGCCGTGCGAGAATAACTTGCGAAGGAGAGTGTCGGGGTTGGGGTAGAAAGGTGATCCATCGTATAGAATCATAGGTGTACGACAGAACAATGCCCCGATGGAAATGTTCCACAGAGTCCAGCCAATGTTGCTAAAGTGGATATAGAGATCCCGAGGGCCAAACCCGTGGTGCAGGAGAAATTCTTTGGCACCATTCAGGACCAGACCGCCGTGGCCATGGACAATGCCCTTTGAAGGACCGGTCGTTCCGGAGGAGAACATTATGAGGAATGGGGTGTTGAAAGGAAGCTGGGCAAATATCAGCTTTGCGTTGGCTCCGAGCGCGTCGAAGTCTACGAAGTTGCGGTGCTGGCATGCAATATTTGTGTCCGTTCCGATCGTGATGAGTTCACATGACTGCCTCTTGGAGGATGTCAGATAGCACATGGTAATCTTGTCTTCGATGTTGTGAGCCTTTCCGTTGTATGCGTATTCCGTCTCGGCGATGATGAGCTTCGGTCGAAGCTGCTCGAGTCTATCGTTCAATGCCTTTTCACCAATATCCGTTGCAAAGTTGGCGATGACTGCCCCAATGGATGCAGCAGCAAGCAATATTCCCAACGATCGGGCACAATTACTTCCAATGGACACCATATAATCGCCTCGACCCACACCGATGGCCGTCAAAGCTGCAGCGAATTTTGCTGTCATCTCTCGCATATCCTTCCACGTATACCTTTCAGGGGAGTCGAGAGTCCTTTCGTTGATGCTGATGATAGCAAGATCATCGTCGTTACCAGAGAGCAAATCTCAGCAAAGTTGAGTCTTGCATGTTCGAAAAAACGTGGAAATTGATCGATGCGCAACTTTTCGTCGACAGCAGTTGTAGGATGTCGAGAAGCTTTGATGCCAGCGAAATTCCAGAATGACAACCAAAACTCATTCATGCGATTGACCGAGAAATTGTGTAGGTCATGGTAGCTAGAGATCTTGATTCCATAGTGTCGCTCTATATGTTCCGTGAAGTCTTCGAGCGGAGTTCTAATGCCAGCAGGCGGAACGTAAGCTGGCTTTGGCGTCATATCCGTGGAGCAATATTGTGCGTCGCACAGCTAGCTGGATTTAACTGTGCCTCGATACGAGTGAGCAGTTGGCTAAGTCTCGTCAAGTTTATGTTTAGTGAGTGATGTGCCAAGACTCAGATCATCAGCGGCTGATCGACCGAACTGTTTCAACGCAATACGCAACAGCTTTCATGCGTATTGACCCGACCTCACGCTGAGTGAATAAGCGAGCAGGGACGTGTCGTGATGTAGCGGTTGATTTCGGGCATGATGTCTTGACCCACCCCTCAACCGAAATCGGCCGAGAGGTGAGGGGTACACAGCTCTGAGTTCGTTCACTCTGAGGCTGAACATCGCATTGCTTGACCATAACAGGAAATTCTGACCACGAAAAGCGACCGACGAATACCCAATATGTCCCATACCGTTACCACAAACACCGGCGGGAACGAGTTTTTGACTCGCGTCTACAACTGCAAGAACAACGACGATCTTGTCGCCCTCTACGACGATTGGGCGGAAAGCTTCGATGCCGATGTGTTGGGTGAAGCTCAGAAATATGTCGCTCCAGCCCTAGCAGCACAGGCAGTCGTACAAGCTGGCGGGAAGATAGATGGTGTGGCATTGGATGCTGGCTGCGGGACTGGCTTGTCCGGTGTGGCTTTGAGCCAAGTTGGCGTGAAGACAATAGATGGTCTTGATATCTCACCGGGCATGCTGAAAGTAGCCAGGAAGACTGGTGTATATCGTGACCTTCAAACCGCCGATCTGTCGAAGCCCGTGCAAAAGGAGGACAGCCAATACGACATCATCTTCTGTATCGGGACCTGGACTCATGGTCATGTTGGGCCCATACCTTCCTTCGCAGAGTTCGTGAGGGTGACCAAGCAAGGCGGAATCATCGCTGGGACGGTGCTGGATGATATCTGGACTTCTCACGGATTTGAAGCTGAAGTGCAACGCCTGGAGCGTGAAGGACTAGTGCAGGTTGTTAGCACTGATAGCATGGATTACCGAAAAGGTGCTGGAGTGACAGCCAAGGTCGTCGTTCTGCGGAAAAAGTAGGACTTTGGATGTATGTGCCATGCGAGGACAGAACGTCTGTGGAAGACGGATAGCAGCAAGCCAGCGGGTCACCCCTTTTCAACAACGGCTGCGTACTGTTCACTTTTCTCTTGCTTTAAGCTGGTGCGAGAAATTTCTGCTAGCGGTTATTGCAAAGGATACAAAGGCATTGTGAGAACATCTATGCCGAAGGCGATCTGCATCATGGCAGCGGTGTGCTGGCTGGAAGCGCCGTGCCCGTGCCCGTGCCCAGCAAAGCGCGGCAAGAAAAGAACATAAACGGATGAGCTAGCCAAATGGGGACGTCCTCCCGAGCGGTCCAGGCCGATCCGATCCGGCCGTCTCATGTCATCTTCTCATGCGTCTGCTTCTTACTACCCCCTCTGCGATCCTTCTCTACGGCGTTATGAACTCTCCCGCACTGTGGTTCGCCTCCATCTTGACCCGTCTCCAGAATGCGATCACAAACCCAGCAAAGTTGCAGAGTTCACTATGCGCCGCATCGCAGCATCTCCCGCCGAAGTGGACACTTCTGTGCTTGGCACGTTGTAGCCGCCCGACCTGAAACTTACAATGAGACTTCATTGGTGGTGACCATGTATCCAGCTCCAAAAAAGATTGAATAGACGCCGAATGCACATTGGAGACACAAGTGCCAGTCTGTCTTTGGAAAGGTGAGCCAACATGCTGCTTGATGACGACTTTTTAGGCATTCGAGCTGCAGGTCCTGCAGACCCCATGTCGCAGATCGTGAGGCACAGTATTGCCATATATCAGCATGGTAAGCCTGCGTGCAGCTGAGTAGCACACGCAGGCTGGAGCTCGTCCGGGCGGCTCTGTCCACTCTACAACATGTCGACAAAATCCTCGGTGTATTCATTGCGAGACAAGTCTTCACAATGCACAAGACAAGAACGGCCCGGATGCTCCTCGTGGATATGGGAAGTCCTTAGCTTCTCAGTCAGTTTTCTCTGCATGGGTGCGATTGTGATCCTACTTGCCAATTTGAACAACAAGCCGCTTCCGAACATGGGTTTCTTGACACTGAACGGTATCGTGTCCACTCTGGCTGGTATCTCCAAAGCCGCGTTGATTTTGCCCATATCTGAAGCTATAAGTCAACTCAAGTGGCAATGGTTCTGGAATCTCGATCGCCCTCGGCCCATATCAGACTTTCAGATCTACGACAGCGCCTCGCGGGGACCTTGGGGCAGTCTTTGTCTACTGGCTCGGCCGCGTTTGGCGCATCTATCGTCACTTGGTGCCATCTTGACTGTTGTCGCACTTGCGATAGAACCATTCTTCCAACTAGTGCCGTCGTATCCAGTCAGGATGGTGCCAACTGCCAGCGGTCTTGCGACCGTTCCAGTCGCTTCATCCTTCACCGAAATTGAACGCGATCCGGTCAACTTCAACACTGTCACAGCAGGCCAAGGTCTGAAGGGCGCTACATACGACGGATTGTTTGGTTCATCTAGAAATAAGAAGATCGACCCATCGTGTCCCACTGGAAACTGCACCTGGTCTCCATATACGTCTTTAGCTGTTTGCAGCGCGTGCACGAATCTTACAGATATGCTGCGAGAGATACCCCGTGGCACTGATGGATTTGATAACACGGACGGTTGGGAGTTACCAAACGGTGCCAGGCGATACGGTGTCAGTGGTAGTTATATGGTTCAGGACAATGCTGCGTCCACGGAAAGTAACAATGGCGGTCAGGACTTTGGCAATTGGACCATCGCCTACAGCCACATGCAGAATTTCACTCTGTTTACGGCCCAGAGCTGGTATTGGGCGCCGCTGACTGCTGGTGATCGCGTCGCTAATGGGCCGGTTCCGGGCAGTATCGCACTGCCCACCGTTGGAAACATCAGTTCACCTCCGCACGCCTCAGAGTGCATATTGCACTTCTGTCTGCGGACTTATAACGCAAGCGTTACGGACGGCACTTTCTCTGAGTCGCTCATCAGCCAGTGGCCGGACCCGCTACAGCCCTTGCCAGAGAGCATCACGGACCAGTGGGGATTTAGGCTGCTGCGCGAGATGATTCACCGCAGCGCCACGGACAGCAGGACTATGTGGTGGCAACACGCGCCTGATAATATTACTGAAGCGGAGATAACTTTGACATCACCCCAGGTGGAAGGCCAAGTCTACCACATCAGCTGGCTGACAATGTTTGGTTTGCGCAACTGGCTCACAGATAATTGGCAGGTGTCGACAGCCGATCAGGACTTCACGTCTGACGTGACCCAAGTAATGTACAACGCCTACACAGGTCCCTCGAGGGCTACAGTACCACCGGAAGACACGTCTGCAGCAGTCGCAGCGATAGCCAAGATGCCTGGTCCTGCTGCTTTGTGGTCAGACGTGGCTGACAGCATGACTCGACACATTCGCAGTCAAGCTTCAGATCAGCAATCTGCGCACGGCGTGGCATACGCTGCACAGACGTTTGTGTCTGTGCAATGGGAATGGATCATTCTGCCCGTCTCGTTGCTTATATTAACTCTTGCCTTCGTAGCACTCACCGTCGCACAGAGCGTGGAGAAGGAAATTCCGTTATGGAAGAGTAACAGTATGCCCTCCCTGGTCTACGGTGTTGACGAAAGTACGGCTCAAAGCATCTCCGGGCATGGTCGGACCGGCGAGGATATGGAGCAACATGCAAAGGCATTTGAGATGGCCATGAGAGCGACAAGTGGTTCACTGAAGCTAAGGGCCAGGCCTCGCGATACAGCTTGATGGACAATTTCTGATATCCACACACGATGCGCAATCTGGTGGCCCCGACCGCTGATCTGTTGACACCGGCAACAAGGGATGTTCTCATCACGCAATGGTCCGTTTGCTAGATTTGCTAGCTGCAAATGGGATCTGATCAATGATAATAAGAGTATTCGGTCTGCCAGTGAAAGTACAGTAAGCGCAGAAAGTCACATATCCAGACCAACGAGATGAGAAGAATCTTTGGAAAGTGCTGTTGGGCGTCCCCGAAGATCAGCTGTCGGAATTCCCATGCGTGATGTCTCTTCAGCTCGAACTTTATCCGGTTGCACGGCACGTCGCAAGCATGAGGATTTACGGGTCGCGAAATGATCGCGATCGCAGCTCGTCGGACTGTTGGAATTAGCAGTACTTTCTATGCAATCTGCCACCATCGAAGTATACCATTGCCTGTTGTCAACGCAGCGCGACTTTACTAGCTTTGCTGGTATTTGGGCACATGCAGCCCTTCGCGCTGCCTCTGATCCAGTGGTCTCAACATCGTAAGCAGCCATGGCATCAACAACACTAGAGCAACCGTGGTGCGCTTCCACGTGTCGCAAACGTCGTACCGACCTTTGGAACATTATTCGTGTCTCCCTCGTGGCTTTGCGTTCAACAACTGGATCTATTCTCCTCGCTCTCGAAGGTGATTATAAGCTCACTCGGAGTCGCTACCAAGCTTAACTTTGTGGCTGATACAAACTGACAGCCAGTGGTGCACGTCCCAACTCCGCAATCCCTCCAAATTTCCACCGGGGACTTTCACCAGCCCGTTCGAGCAAGCGCGCGCGCAATCAACAGAACCCAATGCGGAACGGACATTGCTGGGCAGTTGCTTGTGTTGATCGGCAACGGCTCATCATGTGTGATTACGACGCCCGGTTGGCCGATCCAATCTGCGAAGACGCGGCTTTTCGTTGTGAGGCCGTGGGGAAGAAGGAGTGCGCACGCGTCCAGGCGATGTTCCATTTATCGCCCATGGGACTCTTTGGACGAGCAGAGACTGCGCGCATGGAGTGATGCACACCCATGTCTCATGCTTGAGTGACGTGATGGAGGTTCAGAGGACTGAAGGTTGACACATGGGAAAGCATAGTCGAGTAATGAACATGATTTCAATCGTATCATACTCTGACAGAGCGCAAAGCTTTCACGGCGGATCGTTCTGGAAGCAGAGACAACTCGTGAAGCAGAAGAGAACTTTAACATTGTAGCTTTCGATGAAGATTTCTGATTAACTGTAGCTATTACTGCCAGCTATTGGGGTATAATATCTGTCGATACTGTGGTTGGTATGTCGTCAATCATCGTTCGCCGGAGAATCGAACGCCTTATGGTCTTGGGGAGCAATCTGGGTCTGATTATCTGTGCAACCCTTTGCCCGGGCAATGTCTCCAATCCTATGTACAAACTTCAAACAAGCAGATAATTACGCACTTCTGGTCGCAATGTCTTTACAAAAGGTTGCTCAGGATGTCTGTGAACGTGGTCGTGTTGGCTCCACCAGCTTGGCCCTTCGTCACACCCAAGAGTTCGATAAATTCAGAGTATACGGGGAAAGAGTTCTCGTCAGCAGCAGGCTGGGCGCTAGAAGTCAGGACAGATACAACGAATCCTGGAACGGTAGCAGGGTCGACACTTTGGCCATCTTTGGCAATGCGCCATTCGAGGTTCTTCTGAAGATAAGGTGCGACAATCAACTCAGAAAGACTTCCCAGGAGTTTGTTATCGAAGAGCGAGGTCAACTTGTTGGTAAGAGGGATTGACGCCGTAGTCAAGATAGACATATTCATGCCGCCGCCCTCCATCTGGTCCTGGGCCAACACACCCATCGGTCCATAAAGATTTTCGGCCGATGCCCATGTGGCTGGGTCCTCGCTTGCTGGCTTGCCGTCGAAAAGAAAGACCGTGTAGGAGCCACCCAGAGAGTAACGTGGGGTCTGGACATTTGCGTTGTATTGGTACAGGGAACCGTTTGATGCTTTCAATGGGTCGGTGGAAAGGATATCGCCCAAGGCCGCCAGAGCCTGAGGGTCAGCTTGACGTTTGGAAGAGCCGGCGGACGCAGATGGGTTAGGTCCGTAAAGTCTGTTCACATAGCCGCTGATGGCATTGCGGCTGCCATCGCTGTTAGAGAACTCGGGGTAGGTGTAGCCAAATTGCGTCCAGTCCCTGACCGAGTTGGTAGTCCAGAAAGCATCCCCAGAGGGATTCCTGAAAGGACGGAGGCCGGTATTAGCGCGCGACGTGGTACCTCGCGCGTTTGTCCAAGTGGAGTGTGGCTGCGGCTGAACTGCGCCGTACGAGCTGTGGATAGTCTGCCACATGGCAAAGATACGATCAACGTTGCAGTGGTGGAGGAAGAAGATGGGATCGAAGGAGGCCGTGGAGAGGTAGGTCATATGTCCTCCAGACACTCCATTGCCACCCAAGCCACCAGCATTGTTGTGAACGGTGTTGTGAATCTGCTCCAGGCTGTTTGCGCAACGAGCATTGCTAGTGCTGGAGTCGTCATTGCTGAACGCGCCAAAGTCGTCGCACTGCGTGAAGAGCTGGTATAGCTGATCCTGCAAACTTTGACGGGAACCCTCGAACGCGTTCCTTGCGGCGGGTGAGTTGTTCTCGGCATTTTGCGCGTTGCTGGTTGGGTATCGGAGAGTCTTTGGCCAAGAGTTGAGGGTGCTGTAGACAAGACCTCGTTGTTCGCCGTTCAAGAAGACGTATCCGTACAGAGGATTCCTGAAAGATTGCTGTCCTCTTGGACCTTGAACGGTGACACTGGAAGTTGTAATCTCATCTGGAAGTGCGCGGCTACCGCTTGGGGGTCTCGCAGCCCAGTCGAAGTAGGGAAAGCGCAGGTCGTTCGCAGCATTGACAAATCGTTGTCGGCTTGACGTCGGATATTCTTGGGCCACTGCACGAGCGATCTTGAGGAATTCTTGCTCGAAAAGAGCCATGTATGCACGGTGCCATCCTGGGAAAAGAACCGAGTCGTGGAAACAGTAGCCATCCGTACCTTGACAATTGGCGCATTGTGGAACGTCAGCATAGTTCTGTCTTGGCACACCGTGGATGGATGCAATGTTGAAGAAGCTCCTGTCGCCCGATTGTTCTTTCGGTGTGGTCATCCACCGGTTCAACGCGACGAGGAAAATGGTCCATTGGTCGGGCTGCGAATTCCTCAATTGTCTGACCTCGAGTCGTGGTCTGACATCTGCTGGATCCACGCCGCCCATAAGCCGCACAGGACCGCTTTGTCGAGCTTCGATGTTGCTGTGCTCGGCATCGTGGCTAACGGGGTGTGCGAGAACGGAAGTGGTGGCAAGTGCCAAGATAGAAAATAAAGAGAACTTCATAATGAAAATGCAATGCAAGGATGTAATAGGAAAATTCAATGGATGATTGTTAGAAACGAGTGTGTATGCAACCACACCCAAGCATGCCTGACAGAAAGAAGGTCAGGAACAAGAGGGACAGACGGGTATATGAAAGGAGATTGCTAGAACTAACAGCGACGGGAGGCGTTCGCTACCGTTGCATAGCAGAAGTCAGATGGAGCACTGGGGCCCATCACACGCGAGAGTAGTCTCGCTTGGCCGGGCTCACGGACGTTGTGGTGCAGCGCGTCCGTAGGATGGGCTTGCCATGCGCCAGCGCTGTGGCTAACTTCGTGTTCGGGGGCCCGTTTCTTGGAATAGGGGCATAGTTTAGTCAAGCTCGTCGCTAGTCACGACGCTCCGAGCGGAGCATCTGCGCCAGTCAGCAGCCAGTCGCCACGGATGACGGCGACGTGTCTCCGGTCGGTTTAGGCAGAGTCCTCGCGAGAGAGCGGTCACAAACCTATGCTATTGGTCGGGGGTCATCTGTATGGTGGTGAGCATGTCTTCCCAGTCTCGATGCTGAGGCAGACCACTCAGGTTTGACAGCTCGGCAGTCTTGGTTGGATGCAATGCACTGTGAAATTGGACACGTGCAGAGCGTTACCGGAAAGAGACTTTTAGATCGAAACCTTGTCAGCCTCGAAAAGCTTGTCGCAATTGCTCGCTCGTGAAGAAACTTTCGCCTCCCCTTCCTGCTTTGCCGAGCTCCAGAGCGAAAGCGCACAACGCAGGAGAACGAATTGTCCACCGAAGGAACAGTGTCAGCAGCGCGTCCAGGGAGTCGACAGTCACTGATCAGGAAGTTGTTGATGCTCTGACCCTTGCACATGTTTGCCGTCTCGCATATACAGCGCACAGTCCGGAAGATTTGATGGCCTCGCAGGATGTCGCTTACATGGCTGGGGAAATCCTCGCATGAGCTCACAATGAGCTGCTCGATTGCACGGCATCACGGCACGCTACATGTACGATGACATGTTCAAAATGAGTCGCTGAAATCCTGGATGCAGATGTATCCGAGTCTCGTGGTCGGCGTGCAGTTGCTACACACCGAACTATTGGGCCGAGCTGGTTGAGAACACGATGTGTCCGCCCGAAATAGAGCCCCCGCGCCGAAGATCTTTTGTTTTGGGTGCTGTGGGTGGAATCGATAAGCAGGGGTTTAGCTGTCCGCCTGCAGCTAAGCAGCAGCGGTGCTACTTTGTACTGCAAGGTACGGCTCTGAAAACGAGGTCATCAGTGTGGACACAGATGTTGTGCAAGCGATCGTGGTCGCGCAGCATCAAGGTACTATCGACTCTTTGACCGCCAGTTGCTGTCGTCGGTCCATACACAGTCGACGTGTCAATTGAGTGCTGACGATATCCTTGAGATCGCCTGCTGCCAAGTTGCTGGTTTTGATGATAAGCACAGGGCATATGTCGCATGATGTACGCAACGGGCACAACCAAATGAACCCTGTAAGTTCTAGGCCTTGTCTGACAACGGTAAAATAAGTTCCACGACGGTGTGCTGTGAACAGCACATATGAACGCCGGCCAGCAGCGCTCGAATTCTCTGTTGTCACCCGGCTCCCAACATGTGCTTTGCACGGTGAGTTCTCATATGAACACGCCATCCATCAGACACGAATCGCAGAGCGCCTCAAAGCCATCGCTTATCTCGCCCTGGTCAGGAGCAGACAAGTGCTCAGCCCTCTCGCGTGACGCGCAAGCCGTACCAATTCTCTTATTCTTGCCCAGCCGCTCACGCAGCATTGTAGGATCATCACATTTCGTAGTCGTATCCTGCAAGCATATCGCTTGTAGTCGATGGGCTGACGAGCGCCATCACACGGACCGCCAAGCTGTGCAGTGTGCTCCTCAGAAATTCAGGATGGTAATACGAGCAGCTTCGGTTCTAAAAAAGATGCGAGCTCCATGGGTGCCAAGTATTGGACATGCGATTCGAAACATCCGGTGGTTACCAGAGTACGGCTAAGGCATCCTCAAGCCATCTGCACGAAGGTCGTATTGCACCGTATCGTCGGCTGCGAAGGCTATGATTGAAAAATTTGACGACATCAACCATGCGAAGTTGTACCCTATCCCACGCCAGTCATAGATTGATCGCGAGCAATCCATCGTCCAAGCAGATGTTACCTTGTTCGGATTAAACGGCATCGATGAATGTTAAGGTGCCACGGATTCTGCTCCATATGCACAATCTCGTCGTCTTAAATGGTAGCTCTCAAACCGGGTGCGAGAACAATGGATTCCTGGGTTGCGGCTTGCAAGAACCTAGAGCAACGTTGAGCAACATGCAAGATGTTCACCCGGCGGGCAGGAAAGTAGAGAAGTTGGACAGATTTCTCATGCGGGTCAGCAGAGCAGGCATTGCCAGGTGATAGATTCTTGGCAACCCACGACAAAAATTGCCGCGTCCGGCCGACCTTGTTCCAGGCTGGGTGCTGTGCTGTGCTCAGGCAAAAACGAGTGATATTTGGCAAAAGATTTGTCGCTTCTGTGGATCGAACTGTTACACTGTTAGATTGCTGCACTCAAAGATTTGGACAACCAGTTGATGCTTACCACAGTACCTCCAGATACCGCACAGTGCAGACGACCGAAGTAGACTTCAGTCTGGCGCTCTCCCAAGTGAGCTAAAGCGACTAGTTTCTCGCTGTGAGATGGTAGATGCTGATTTTACGTGCAATATAAACCTTAATTTTGCATCATCCACAGTGAACGCGCGGGTCGATTCAATCCGCTGCCAATGCTGTGCTGTCATGCTTCCCTCAGTGCTGTCGGCCAAATCCGAGACAAGATCTTGTCACTCATCAGCCTTACGCATCTGCTCGAGACGGTCGTCCGATGATGCTGAATTCGTGCAAGTGCTGATGCAAAGGAGGAGGTGAAGTCGACGTAAGCTTCCCGTACCTGCCTCCAAAGTTGCATACCGACGCCGTCGCTCGAATGACGCCAGAAATCTGCTCATATCACCGCATGCCTAAGCTCAATGGAGGAACTCCATTGAGAAATGCATGTCACACCATACTGTACCGCCAGTGTGGTTCGGCAGTCTGAGTAGGAAGATCTGGCTTCTGAAACAAACAACGGTCTCATGCGAGATTCAGCCACTACAACGGTTTGCACCAGGAACAGCAGATGTCTACTAGTAATGACTGGATTCTAGAAGTCTGCAGAGTGCTCACACGCCTTGTGCGCCAGAGTGATCTGACTAGTAGTTCCGCATCCTCGCAGGACTGCGATGGGCCTCTCCCGTTTCCAAAGCAGCAGTGAGTAGACTCTATATTCGCCAATAGCTTGAATTCGAAATCCTCATACAAACAGAGGAGCAGAAGTAGAGCCATTACATCTCACGCGGTGAGGTCCACTTCAGGCGGCTGCTCTTCTTCTGCCACTGGACGTTGGTCTTGGTTTCACAGCCTTTGTGTTCATTGTATCTCGATGGCATATCCATCGCTGCCTCTGGCTCGTTGTCAGAAACCCACAGTCAAGTTGTGCACCTTGGAACGTGCCACGTTGGTCAACGAGATGCATGTGAGAGATGAATCGTTTATCAGATGGGATACGCCATCTACTGTCTATAATATATACACGCTCGCGCGCGTTGTATAATTGTAACACAAGCTCATCGCAGCCGGGTATCCTATTCCGCGCTTTCAAATGCAAAGTCTTTCGTCGTCAAATGCTTTTGCTCTCTTTTTGGAAAGTGTCCCGTATTCCAAAGTCCGGCCGTGAAGAACACCATTCCCATTCGCTTGAACGCAATCATAGACGTCGGTAATTAACCAGTTGAGTCGGGTGTTGCGACCTTCCTCCATGCATCTTCCGCTCTCTTCATCTCTTGTGTTGAACCGCTCACATGGCCGTGAGCTGCCTCTTCTTCCTCTCTTCGGCAAAGACCTCCCTGCTGATTGCCAGTACCCTCTCGAATCCTTCTCGCCCCTTGATAGCGTTCTCCTTGAAGCGCTCCACACTGATGTCCTCGATCGCGCTCTTGATTTTCTGCCATCCGCCACATAGCGCCACTATCCGTGCTTCTTGCTCGAAAATGGTCTTCCCGCTTTGTGTCGGATCAGGTCGGTATACAACCTTCTCGTGCACGTTGATCAATTCACTCCACGTCAGGTTCTGACTGCACATTGTAACCTTCTTCGCTTTGGGGTCCACGTAGCTGACTTCGTACACTTGACTCGTGTCGCCGCTGCCGAGGAATGACTTGAGCCATTGTGGCGCTGACTGTTTGCAGGTGATGAGTCGTTCGGTGCGTAGAATGCCGGTGCTAGGGTCGAGTGTCCGTGAGAGCGTGTCGACTGCTGTTACATGCGTGGATTTGTCGTTCCAGGGACAGTATTTCCGCCAGTTGCATGTGCTGACCTCGTCCCAGGAGTACGAGTAGGAGTGGGAGCTGCTGAAGATCTTCATTGTCGTTGTCCACGCGTTCGAGGACGAGACGCTCGATATTCGGTGGGTGTGCCTCTGGCCGGGCAGCCGGCGTTTTTGGGACTAGGTCTTATCTCGCGTCTTTTCTGATGACAGGGTGAGGCGAAACAAAGGCGCGTTGGAAACGTGCGTTGGCTGAGCGTCGGCGGGTCGTTGAGAGTCGTGAGGTCGTCGGTGCGTCTGCTGGAAAGACAGTGGGTGACAGGCGAGTGTCAGCGCTGGGTGATGAAGATGGATGTGGGTCGAAAGGTCTCGAAATGTGAATATTCCCTGGCCAGATGGAAGTTCTCGACCCCCAGCCGAATTATTCTCGCGCACGGCCTGTTTCTCCGCCGCGCTTCCGGCTATCGGCTGCTTTCCTTTGCATGTGATTGGCGCCTCACCTCGTCTTCTTGGCGTCGGAGCAGCAAACATCTGGGCATCCTTGCCAACTTGGAGACCCCCAAACGTTATGCAAGATGCAAGTTCCGAATGCAATTCTGGTCACCAGCTGACCAGTATCAATTGGCGGCCTCAGGCTGATTTTTGCCATAGACTTGGTTCCCATGCGTAGGCTGGGTCCGTACGAAGCAAGAAGGGCAACAGCATTGATGACCTGAAGAAGCCACGATCGAACGACGTGATCTCAAGAATGGCCAGACTCGTCGTACAACTACGATACAGTCCCAAGGGCTCTCGGCATCATGGCAGAAACCTTATATATGCCGCTGAACGCTGCAGAGTCCCAGATACGGCTACTGGTGATAGATCCTGTTGAGCACGAGGCGACAGTATCCTGCACCATGCAGATGGCAAAGCTGGGAGAACAGGCGTTTGATGCCCTCTCTTACTGTTGGGGAAATCCAGTGAAAGACACACGCATCATCGTCAACGGAACACAGTTGATGGTAACTGCAAATTTGGCCACGGCTCTTTTCCATTTTCGACAGTCTGGCGTTAGCTCTGACGTGCCTATCTGGATCGATGCCATCTGTATAAATCAAGCTGATAACACAGAGCGTGGATCTCAAGTTCAGCTTATGGGCTCACTGTACCAACAAGCGAGGAAAGTACACGTTTGGCTCAGCGATGAATCTGCTGTGCCGCGAGCAAGTATGCAAGCACTTGCGGAGCTGTCTGAGTACATGCTGCAATATGATGCAGAGCATTGGATAAGCAAAGAGGACTCGAACTCTGTGCAGAAGTTTCCGAGATCTGCTAGCTCTTATCCAGAATGCTTACTGGACACGCGCTTGGGTTCAGCAGGAGATTGCGTTCGCGTTGTGCTGTGTGATTCACGGCAGTGGCATGATGGTGCGGTTAGACGGAATCCCTTCACACGGCACCCTGCCTTTCTTCGACGTCTATCGCCAGCTAGAGCTTACGGGATGTCGATCTCGCGAGATACGCTCCATGCGCGATTCTCTCAGAGAGTTGCTCTACCAGGTCGCAACGACAGGCTTCGTTGCAAAGATCCGGCAATTCGCGCACGAACCCTCTTACGCAAGGCTCATTACGGGCATCTTCTTGAGCTATAGACCTCTCCGAGCGACAGACCCCAGAGATAAAGTATATGGCATGTTGGGTCTGCTTCCGGGCAGTTTGGATTTGTCCCCAGATTACACGAAACCTGTGTCTGAAGTCTACACTGATCTTACTGTTGAGCTGATCAAGGCAACGCAAGACTTGGAAATTCTGCATGTCGCTTGTTCTGGCAGTGCCGATCTACCCAGCTGGGTTCCAGATCTTCGCATTCACAGACAATTCCCAGAAGCGTTCGTAGACAAGGTGAAAGGAAGCAGAGCATCTGCTGGCCTCGCGGCTGATATTAACGTGGAGGACGGTAATCTTTTGAGAACGAGGGGTTCGATTATCGATGTCGTGGAGCGCGTCGAGCGTGGCGTCCACAAAATCGTAGATGGACACGACCTTCGGGCTCATTTGTCCAGATAGCGCCCCTTATTTGATGAGGGTGCTGCGCGGTTCCCTGGCCCATATACCGAACGACAGCTCAGCGGTACATTTTGGAACGCCATTACAAACTCGATCTCGCTCCAAGGTCACAGGCGCTTCAACGAATCGGATGCTGAGCTATGCCTGAGAATAATGCAAAATGACAACACTGTTGAAGATGCGACTGCCGAAAAATTTGTCATGCTCTGTACCGAGACCTTGGAGAATTATGATGTTCTCTTGACTGCCCAAGGTCACGTTGGTCAAGTGCCAAAAGGTCGAGTTGAGGCCGACGACAAGTTACTGATGCTTGCCGGTGCTGGCGCGCCATTCACGGCGATGCGTCAAAGGATCGGCGACAAGGAAGCATTCGCCCTACGCTCCCCATGTGTCCTGCTGCCCTTTGATCCTGATCCAATCGATGGGAAGTACAAACTGGAACACGAAATCGCGACCAGCGACTTTCTGGTTAGACGAGCAGGACTCGGAAGCTGTTCGGAGACTTTACAGGAGTTAGGGAAGCAAGCCGTACTTGATTTGTTCGAAGAAGTGATCATTTGTTGAACAGCATCCTGTCCCTTGACAAAAGCTTCCCTTTCATGGCATGCTGACTTTGAGGATTGACCTCGTTTGCAACCCAGCAAGGCCAACGCTTGTCACGATGGCAAGATGAAATCAAACCCAGTGTACGTTGCCTACATGTGGACTCAAGCCATTCTTCCAAAATAGGCCGCATGAATGGGCTCAAGGATCTGAAGGAGGTCCATGCCCTAAGCCAACCCCAATCGAATAAAGTGAACAAGACTAAGCAAAAAGATACACAAAGCCGTTGGTTGAGCTTCCTGTCCGTCCAACTTACCTGCCAAAAAACAAAAAAATCATGCAACGAATGAGGTCCTACCCGGATTCGACTACAACACCGTTAGCTTGGAAACAAGACACAAGGATATCAGGAAGCCTTACACCGGGGTTGCCAGAAGCTTTCAATATCGGACAGACAGAGCAGTCCTTCTCAAAATCTGGAATGATAACCACTCTGGATCACAAGTCAGGGGGTCGAACACGAAATTATTTGGTTCGGTTAACTGGCTTACACATCATAGAACCCATGAAAGGTGTATCACGTGATGAGGTTTGAGCTTGTGAAACGTATATGATGGTTTGATGTTGGGGTGGAGCCGATGTCGGCGTTGGGGGTGGTCTTTTGCCTCTGTGTTTGAGATGGTCGTGATGCATTGTTGTTTTCGTGAACTGCGTCTTCGATTTTGTATTGTAGTTTGACAGATTGATGCTAGAAGGCTTAGCCTTGGGGGTTTATGGCCACTCGTTTTTCTGCAAAGCGTTTACTGTCGTGATTCTGTGAAGGCGAAGAGTTCTGTCACCCATGCCTCGTAACAGTCAAGGGAGAAGACCTCTTGCCAAAACGATTTCTTGCGAACTTGATAGCACTAGTTGTGCCTGGAGAATTCATCGTCAAGTCGGCGTTCACGAAAGGCCTGCCAGCGATCCCGATTCTCTCACGTTCTGCTGGGTAGCCCCATGAAATCCTCCATCTCTCCTGTCCTCCTCCCGGCAACACCATCCTCATTCACATTTCGCCTAACTCTTAGTGCTTTCCCTCTCGAAGTACTGCCTTGAACCTCCTCTGTGTCCCTTGGGACAGCATCATCTTCACCCACAATACGGGCAATCAGAGTTGCCTTCGCCTTTGCGTCCTTCAGGCGATCGTCGAACTCGCTAACATCATTCTCATCATTCTTCGTGCTCAAGCCATTCGGATCACTGAGCGCCGCAAGTCTCTCGACATGCTTTCGCAATCGCTCGTTACCGTTGAGTGGCGGCATGACCGAATTTTTCGAAGACGCCGAAGTATCGTCTGGTTTCCTTGAAGACGATAATCTCGCTTCCCAGACAGCGGCTCTCCCATTCAGCTTGCCCATCTCGAGGAACTTTTCGAAACCTTTCTCGAGGCCGAAAGTACGGCCTTCGATTCGTCCGGATTTGGCGCCATCTGCGACGCCGAGATCGTAGCCTTCCTGACAGTACCGGTCTTCTAGATTCAAGACATCTTCAAAGACGTCTGTGTTCGTTGGAGTTGTCATGTTGATGAAGTGCAGTCAGAAGTTGCAGCGCAAGGGCAAAAGTATTGAAGGATGAGTCAGCCGTGTCAATATTTGTTTGGTGTTTGATAAACGATCGCGAGGCGGCCGACTGGCATCACACTGCAGCAGTGCATCTTTGAAAGAAGTTGTCACATGGCACTCATGCAGTGGTGAACGTTGGAGTTACCAGCAAAAGGTGCATGGCTCGCGTTCTGGGACGCTCCTTCTCCCATTGGGCACCAGGCTGGAAAGAAGCCAATGGCTTGACGACACGCTTTTACCGCCAACCACGACTTGAACTCCATCTATAACCGGCCTCCTCCCCAAAACTCCACACTCCTTCGTCTCATCACTCCTCCACGACCTTATCTGACATTCGTCACCGACAGACTGCATCGGGGAAGAGTGTGTGGGTTCCAGCGCCGGAGCTTACTGCCACGAGTCGTATGCGAACTTCCCGCCGAGCCGCCGGAGATCAAGAATGGGCCGCATACGACGACCTACCCTCCACTCGCGAAGGTGCAACGAACAGTGCATCTTCTGGAGGTCTGTACGATCGAGCAAGAGCTATGGAGATGAGTCGTGGAGACCATACTGGTGTCGCTAGCTCCGCGGCTAGAACGTCACTGGCCCAGCCAACCTGGCTGTCAGAAGCGGTCAGCCAAGCGTGAGCGAACGACGCCGAAGGGTTTCGCTTCTCCAACGCCAGCCTTCTTGCCTTGGAGGACCCCTTGCAACGATGACGTGAACGGCTTGACAGGACTGCACATACATGTAATTAATGCCCCTCCGACAACCCTGTAGCCATCATGCTCTCCTCTCCTGTAAATCAGCCTTTCAGACACTCACAGTACAGACACACGACTTGAACGATATCTATTCACCATGGCAGCCAAAATAATGACTGTCGAGCCATCGCTCGCGAGCAGCTACAGCTCGCGCTCCCACAGCCGACCATCGCGACGAGCAGCCGACCTGATTGAACGACTGAACGACCTCGAACACGAAAAGCGATCAAGACGACACTCGCACGCTGGTTCTCTGGTTCTCGCTCGTCCCGGCGCCGATCGATCTGTAGATGACATCAACAACGAGATTCGCGCTCTCGAAGCCGAGAAGCAAGCCTACCGATACGAATCCCGAGCGAGCGAAGAGCGCGATCTTGCATACAAATTTCGAGAACGAGCATCGAGCGAATCTCCTCGATCACGATACGGCAGCGAAAGAGATCTCATCATTGAAGAGGACTTCCGTCGTCTGCCAGCGAAAGAGTACGTCCATGAAGAATATCGACGAGAGAGGAGTAGACCTCCTGAGGAATTGGTCTTGTACGATCGTGAACGGTATGGGCCAAGAGAAGTTGTCTATGAGCGAGCGAGAAGCCCTCAGCGCAATGTGGTGCGCGTGCAAAAGGATAGGAAGGGACGATTAAGTCTGGTTAGAAGTTCGCGTTGAAACATACTGTGCGGCAAAGCAAAGAGGAACGACAGGTAACACATTGGCTGCTGGGACGGATGTGAATAAGAGATGTCAGTCCTTTCAGGAGACGAAGAGCGCGGAGCAATTGAGCGGACAGTAGTAATACTGCTCCAACGACTTGACGAATTCAACGACGATTATATGCCCATGCACTCACCAGACCTGGCAACGCTTGCCCAACACCAGTCTCCTTCCATTCGAGCTCCGCGCACAACGCTTCTCGGTTTACCCACTTCTACACGACTTCGCGAGGCACACATTGCCATGGCACTCACGCCATCGCGCATAGTCTGAGTTATCTACAGGCGTGGAGCACTGCAGGCGAGAGGCTCTTGCGATCCAGCTCTCTCCGCGTTCCGCCCGGCTATCATTTTACTGGAGAATTGCAACAATCTGCACAGCCTCTCGGTTTCTCAGGAGCAATGCCCTTGCCGCCACTCGCCCATGGCTGTGAACTCCAAATCGATCTGGTGCACCGGGTCACCATTGAATTAAGCGTCGACGAGAATACAGAGCAGCGTCATGATTATGTGCGACCAGCCACGGCAAGGGCATCATGCCACCGCCACGCCCACACGAACCGGTCTCAAGAATTCAAGGTTCAGATGTGGCTTGCTTCTACTATAACGATATTTAACCTGAGAATAGCCAGCCCTTTAATGAAAGGTGTCTCACCAGACGCGACTAGCACATTTCCACTACTTCCAATGCTGAAGTTTAGGTTTTCAGACACAGAGGCACCGAAGTCATTGATCATGATTACAGTTGATGTTGAACTGATCTGTCAAATGACTGATTTGATTCAACTCGATGCATGTTCCGAAAACTAAATGGAAGAATCTTATCTTCGCTTCAATTCATTCAATGAATAGGGTATCTCTTGTACAAGTCGCTCTAACATTATATAGTTATATCCGCGCTGATAGAGTATATTTACATGACCCAAGCAGCAATACCAGCGACAACAGCCGCGAACCCAGCGAAAGCGGACTCTGGAGCCGCACCTCCAGTGTACGGAGTCGGGCCCGAACCAGGCGTAGTGGCATTCGTACCATTGCCGCCACCGATGACAGGAACAAGGCTTGCAGTTGCAGTAGGAGCAGGCTGATAAACCGGAGGAGCATTTCCAGAAGTTGGCGATCCAATAGCATAAGTCAAAGCAGCGCTCGAAGAAGCTGGAGCGGAAGTCGCTGCGCCAGAAGCGGACACCGTACCAGTAGAAGTCTGCTTGTTGGCAGGGTAATCAGACGATGCCAGGAACCCATTGCAAAGACCACCATTGCAGCTGTTGTACGCGCATTGACTATCCGAAGTACAACTCGCTTGAAAGTTTCCGCAAACACGAATACTCAGATTCGTAATCGCCCAACATTGCGCTCCATTGACGCATTGTTCCGAGGCTCCGCATGGTTTTCCCAAAGGAATTGAACCTGCTGGGGCGTTGATTTGGGTTACGCCTGGAGGTTGGATGATTGTGCCGGAGAAGATGGAAGTTGTGCCGGATGGTGGAGGAGTTGTTGAGGTGGGTTTCGTGAGGCCTGCGGTCGCTGTTGCGCAGAAATCACGGATACGAGCGGCGTCTTCACCGCTGCAGGTTGTGAGGTCGCATTGGCAGACTACTTCGGCTGTGCCTGCTGCGATGCATTTTTTGTAGGTTTCTTGACAGTCTTCTTCGGCGTAGACAGCGGCAATTGCTGCGGCGAGGAGGATGAGGGTGGAACGCATGGTTGTGGTATTGTATTAGGTGTTGATCTTGGTGACTAGTGATGTTGTTGGCGATGTCGTTCAACGAGAGTCCGGCGCCGATGAGACGCAGCGAATGTCAGTGATGCTGAAATGGGAATGAGATGAGATTTCTGGTAATACAGAAGAAAGCGGAAACCAGCAAATCTTATAGGAGTGATGCTGCCACCATGTATCAGGCAATACCATGTCCTGGTCCTGGTTCTCTTCAGTGTCTAGTCGAAACCAATACGAGGCACCGGCCGGCCGGGCCATTCATGACGCTGCAAATGGCGCATCCCGGTCACCTATTTTGATACCTTTGCCACACCATGTGGCTGTTTTCCAGAACGGAGAGAAAGCTTCGCGTCTTGGCTGATGCATGAATGTCTTATAGATGCTTAGAATAGTACACTTTCTCTTTCTGTTTGTGCGTACTGTGCAGTTGACGAAGACGGCGTTTGGTGATTCGCATCGGATGGCATTTGCCATTGAATGCCGGGCCCCTGCTGAGCCACATCGTCATGTCAGTAGTAATCGGAGGCAGTCTGGACGTGTGACGGGTGGCAGCTGCTCTCTGGCACGCTGACGGTCTAGCCCGCGATCATACGCGGAAGACTTTGAGATCTCGTGAAGGTTTGCCGTTGAAGCGCTGAGGAGGACCGAAGACGAAGAAGAGGCGGAGTAGAAAGCCAAAAGGTCGGCGACCGCGAGCCAGGCGGCCTGTGCACTTTCTGTGCCACCTCGCAACTTGACTTCGACCATGTAAGCCTCGAACAAGATAACGTCGCAACACGGCGGCTCACAGCCATCTGCTATTGTTGCAGTTTGCAGCGAAAGCAACCCGTCGTCCTGCGTCATGAGACGCCGATTCCGATGCGAGAGATCTGGCTCACAGATGCGAGCAGGATGAGGACCCCACTTGAATTTGGACTGCTTCATGAGGAGTATCCAAAATCTGGCCTCTTTGAGCCGATTGACCTAATCGCTCGGTTTTCCTTACTGCTTGAGCTCATACCAAGCGCTCTGGTTGCCAAGATCTGGTCGCATCATAACCCGCTATTCCTGAGCAGGTCATTGTCCCGTACCATATCCAGTTGACAATACAGCTACATGAGCATTGCGCGGCTCCCCGAGCGCGTTGTTCATGCTTATGCGGAGGGCACCAGCTGGCTGCTGCATTCTTCCGCCCACGAAACGAGGTTTCCCAAAGAGTCATCCGAAGGCTGACTAGGCGATACTATCAGCATACCGACTACTCCTGGTTTTTGAGAGTCCTCATCGAGCAAGCTGAGACACGATACTGCAGGCTTGCTGTAGATCGCATCTTCGCTGACGGCAGTGGCCACCTGAGAAGAGTGTCAGTCCTGTGCTTGCGCGTCAAAAGCAGCACCGAAGAAGAACCATTACCTTCTTGGGAAAATCATCGTTGAAGCCCATTGCAATCTGCACGTCTGGATCACCATCGTAGAAGACGTAGGTGCCTGCTGCGATTAGTAGAAAAACCTCGAAAATCACATTACCGTCTTAACACACCATGGGCTTGTGCTTTCATGGGCTCTGATTTTCCATCCGAAGCAGTAGCGTCGCGCAATTGTGACGCCTCTTGCGTGCCTGGAACGAAGTCCAACTTGTGAAGCATACGACTGTTCCCAGCAACGTTGGAATAGAAGATATTGTAGCAACCAGCACTGCCCGGATCTGTGCACTGAGCGAGCTGGATCGGATTGTCGCTTGGAACATGACCCCTCACAGCCTCCGTGAGTGTGTACGTCGTCGCGGCCACATCCCACAATACCTTATGCATACGTTTGAATTTGGACTGGATGAGCGTGAAGACGCAACGCTCCACGCATCGTTTCTCACGAAAATATGAAGAGAGAACCATGGCGACGGCATATGCGAGATGATTCTAAGGCGATGTCAGCAAGGATAAAACAGGCCCCCATTGTCGCAACGAAGAGACTCACCGTACAGGCGCAACCAGGCGGATGACCCAAATCCTCGGACATGGAGAACTCATCGTGAGAACCATCAATATCCTTCAGAAGCTTGCTGGAAACTTTTGGATATTCCACCAGTCTGATTGGGACCTGTGGAGCAGGAGGACCATAGCGGTCCCAGTTCGGCGACTCTCGCTTTGCTGGACCAGCCGTGGGAAGTGCCTCCTCAAGCTTGACGGCATCCAGGCCAAAGCTGCGAGATTCAGGCGAGGCGCCTACTAGAGCCGTCTCGTATTCGGAGCATGCATTCCTGGGGAATGTTTCTGCCACGATCGCGCGAACATCGTTGAGCAGGGCTCGCGGACCGGCCGCGGCGGCATTCAATCGCGTGGCGGTGATCGCGCCGATGAGAGTGTGGACAACGCATGCAACGGCGGCGACACCAGGAAGCTTCGTCATGGTGCTATAGCGGTAGATGTGCTTGATTTCGTATGTTGTTGTTGATGACACCCACGTGAAGTTGAAAGTTGTGGCTGTGTACGCGCCAAATTGAGGGTTGAGCAAAGTGAAGTGCAGCAAATCAACGGCGAGAACAACCACGCGGCAGGCACGACTGAATTGTTCATTGCTGACATAGAGCGCCTGGTCATTGGCAGCAAGCACACCTATCCGGAAGCCTTCCCAAACAACCTGCCCGCAACATTTTTCAATCCTATCCTCGCCATCGTTGTCAAAGAGGGCTCTTGCATCAGCATAGTATAGATCCCTGCTTCCGTCATACTGTAAGGAGACCTGAGTCTTGCGTCGGTGATGAGGAAGTTCTCCGGCAGCCATTGCATGACCTCGTCCTTCTTACCAAGCAGCATCTTGGCTACAGCTTCACCACATCCCCAGCAGAGCGGCATACCGTAGCCGTTGAAGCCAGCAGCAATGTATTCACCTCCAGCCGGTCGGCCTGTGATGCTCTCAGGAACCTCGCCGACCCACGGGACTGCATCGACAGTAAAGCCCATGACCCCAGACCAACATTTCCTCACCTCGGGAGCTTGGCCTTCGGGCCATCCTTTGTCGAAGATCTTTGGCAAAACATTGACCAGTGCGTCTTTTGAGACGCTGCTGATGACTGTGTCGTCGCTGTTGAGTATCTCACTCGGATATTGCTTTTCGCCTCCGATGAAGATATCTCCAGTCTTCGCATTCTGCGTGATATAGTACAAGCCATACGAGAACTGTCCAGTCTTGGGATCATACTTTGGTTGATCAAACGTCGACCAGGACTTTTTGCCTCCTTCATTTGGGAACTCTGGACCAGCGGCTTGAGCTGACATTGTTCCTCGCAGTGGCCAGATCTTGCCTCGCATCTTTGGAAGCAAATGGCCAGTAAAGCCGTTACTGCAGTAGATGACTTTAGAAGCTCGAACCACACCTCGACTTGTTTGTACGCTGTAAGGATACTCTTTGTCTGATGATGTGTCATATCCAACTCCAGTCACAGGTGTATTCGTCTCGATAGCAAAGCGACCAGGATACTCCTCCAGCATGCGTTCAAAAAGTCCAGTAACAAGTCTATAAGGCCAAAATGCTCCAGCTCGGTTGACAATGACTCCAACTGCGTTCTTGAAGTTCCATTTCTGCAAAACATTCATCAGCACATCTTCCTCCTGCAAACCCACAACACCAGCAAAAGAAAAAACCAACTCACCTCCCTCGCCTCATCCTTCCCAAAAAACTCCCCATCCCCCTTCTCCTCCGGCAAACACTCCTCATACCTCCTCATAGACCTCTTCGTCTCCTCAAACACCCCCTCATCATAATACGCACAAACAGATCTCACCCTCCTCACCTCCGCCACCCTCCTCAACTCCTCATCTCCCTCCTCCGCCAATTGATGCATACTCTCTAACGTCCGATTCGCAAATCTCGCGATTTTCGTCGTGGCTTCTTTTCCAGCATATTTTTCGAAAATACTGAATTCTTCTGGGAATGGGGAGACTAAGTGTCCGCCATTTCGACCTGTGGCGCCGCTGCAGAGCGTGCGGGCTTCGAGGATTGTGATGTGGGATGAAGAGTCTGATGGGGGGAGGTTTTCGAAGAGGTTTTTGGCTACGCTGCAGGCTGTTATGCCGGAGCCGATTATGGCGTAGGTGGTTTTGAAGGGGAGGGATTGGGATTGGTGGGAGGAGAGTTCGGAGGGTGGTAGTTGCCAGAAAGCTTCTGTGGGGTTTGCGCGGGGGAGTTGAGGGTCTTGTTGAGCATCTCGTACGAGTTGGGCGATGATTGAGGCTGGAACGCCGGTCATGGTGGCGAGTGTGCTTGAGTAGTCTTGTGGAGTGTGGGGAAGGTGAAGTCGAGGTTGTGATACAGGTTCAGCGGGATGGAGATTGACCTAGTTATGAGCGGCGTTCGAAGATCTCCGTAATGCCGATACGGAGTTGGCCAGGTGCATGAGCGTGTAGTTGAATTCAAAGGTCCGTAGCTCCTTCTATACTGATCGCAAGATAAGGTGTGATGTTCTGGTACTATATGGCGCTTGGATGAAAGCAGAAAGTGCAGCCGAGAAGCTTGGCGTTGGCGATGGTAATGGCGATCTGTCGAGCAATACCGCTATTCGTACATGTTACTACTCATCACACAGTCCTCTCATGCCTTGCCGGTCCGTCTTCAGGGGTTCGGGTAGACCTCCAACGGGCCCTTGCCCTGTGCACTTCCAAGCACTTCCTCGAACAGGTTCTTCCACCACTCCACCGTGTTGCGATCTTGCTCAAACACACGGAAGCCCGAAACCTGGGCGATGTTGCTGTCGGGAGAGAGACCGTACTGCTCATTGAGGTTGGTCAAGATGGTCGGTCTTCCGGAAGCCGCAGTCGCGTTCTGCTGCTCAAGGCTCGTAAGGTAGGACAGGAAAAGCTTCGCCGATTCCGGCCGTGGAGAGCTGGCGATGATAGCAGCGGATTGAGCCCAGGACATTATCTGCTCAGGTGCTTCAGGCGACTTTGTAGCAAAAAAGCTGGCTCCGCTGCTGTATGAGGTGAAGGACAGCGCGCGGGCCGAAGTCGTGTTGTGGCTCGCACTCAGTATGGCCGATGGGCTACCAGTGCCGCGGACCCATTGCACGTCGTTCTCCGCCAGGTCGTATAGCCACTGGAAGCCATAGCGGCTGACGATGAGTGAGAAGAGATACGCAATAGCGTCGTCGTCGTTGGGATAGGTGATCACCAGCTTTCCTTTGTACTTCTTGTCCGTGAGTTCAGCGTAGGAAGAGGGCACGTCTGATGCGTTGAGCTTCGTGGTATCGTAGAGGAAGGTTCCGAAGCTGCCTGTTCGATTCGTAGTTAGCAGAGTGAAAAGCCAGAGCGGGGAGAGACAACTCACTTATGCGCACCGAGAACCAGGCACCATCTGCATCTTTCTCACCTGGCAAGATGTCTTCAAAGGTGGCAGGCTTGTAGTCCAGCAGCTTTCCGCCGTTCTTCCACCTGCGGAAGTCGTGGAGAGTCTGAAGGACAGCGACATCTGCCACGTGAAGTCCTTCCAAGTGAGCACGATCGATGCGGTTGTCGTGATACTTGGAAAGATCCACTGTCAAGTTGAGCTTGACATCTGGGAAGCGATCTGCCCAAGCTTGACGAACACTGTCGCCTTGGCTTCCAGCATCTCCACCCCAGAACACCTGGAGTGCGCCTTCCTCCTTGCGGGCGGCGGCGTAGATGTCATCAAGCGATCGCGTGTCGACCTCGACCGTGTTGTATGCGGCTTCGCAAAGAGCAATAGCGCCAAGAGCTGCGGAGATAGTGAATGCCTTCATGATGGCAGTAGGGGCTGATCAGTCAGGATGCAGCGGTGATTTCCTCCATCGCAATCTCGCCATGCCACCTTATATGGTTTGGTACCTGCTTGGTCTCTGGAGCCAGGTCGGGCGTCACGGTGTATTCGTCAGCGAAGCCAGCCAACTTGCGTGCGACAGACGGTGTTGCGGCTCGTGTGCTTCTAGTGGATCGCCATTATAGCCTAGCAGCTGCCTCAATCGTTGTGATATACGACGTCTCAACTCGATCGCGACATCAGAGCTGTGGCTCATTGGCCCGGGTGTGGAGCCCGAAAATTACCGTGTTTCCGCGGTCGCAGCGCAAACGTTCGTTCTGGGAAATTCAGACAGCGGAGCATCTCCGCTGCTTGCTAATGGAGGTCCAGATGAAGACGTTCCACAGTGTTCGGTCGATCCACATAGTCTGGTCTAAACAACCAAGCCACGTCGGCTACATCCGAATATCAGCCACGCGAAGCCGATGTTGCTTGTTGGTTGTTTTAGCAGAAGCTGTGGAGATGGACTAATCCTATGCGAGATATGATGCCCGAGCCACTTCAGACGTCGATGTGTCGTGGTGGTGAAGAATGTTCTTCTGACTCTGCTACTGACGAGATTTGGCCGATAGTGTTGGCTTGCTGGTGGACCAGCTTGGAAGAGGGCAATTTTGCCATCTATCTGTACGTTCGGCACAGGGCTGCGTGCATCGAAGCAGTGATGAGAAGACCACGATCGCGACTATGGGCTCTTCTGATAGGTGAACCTTGGAGATCCGGCCGCGAGGTGAGGCAGAGAGTACGAATATCTGGGCTATACGAGAAGTACTCCGTGCCCGGGGAGGACTCCAGAGGCTGGTATGGGCCGGAGAGGTGTAGCCTCAGCATGTGGCACCATCTTGTAGCAGTTCATCCGTGGTGTCTCAAGAGCAATGTCGAAAGGCTCTTCGATCGCTTCCGCTCTGCTACAATTGACGTTGGATGTCGCGTTTGCGGTGAGACATCGGCACGCCAGCACGCGACACGACCCGTACGAGCGGCAAGCGCGTCATGTGCTGCTGCAAAGGTATCAAGGTACCAACGAGCGCACTGTATGATTGCGGCTAGTGTCCTCGTCGGTCGTTGCTGGAGGAATTCTCATCGAAAGAGAGCGGCGCGTTTGAAGCGCGAAATCTTCAAACGAGATGATTGCAGCCTGAGGCTCCACGCCAAGACTGACACCGACATCGTCCTTCGGAGACCGCTCCTGTCGACTTCGCAACATCGAGCCTCCCAAGGCTCGTCACCATGTCCATCAACTCCAACCGCACAAGAGTGCTACTCATCGCGTACGGTTTCATGCGCCTCCGCGCGTACGGAGGCAAACGACTCGACTGGAGCTGCATACGCGCGGCCGCGTCTCCCGCGGTTCTACCATAGTGCCATCTGCAAGAATGTCTAGCCTGGTATCGACTCTCGCAGCATTCGAGGCTGAAAGGTATACACAGAATCTTGTGGCTGATACTAATACATTTCACCTTTGCGCCGCCTCTCCATACACGTCGCCGGAATCAATCGCGGGATATTGGCCCTGCCAGCCTGTGCACGGGCTTTCAGCGATCAAGATCGATTGCTTGCGGGATATGCTCGCCATACGAGACTCTGGTCACTTGCTTCGCAGGTAAAAGCTGGTCTACATCGTTACTCAGCCAATATGCACGGAAAACTCTAGCTGCAGAGTGTATTTCCATAACACATGAGCAGGACCTGATTCAACATGAAAGAATCACGATCAGGCGAGTGTCACCGTGCACAAATTGCGACCAGGACGTCTGGGCTTGCAAGCTCCCACGGCTCCCATTGAAACGGAATGCCAATGCCCATGCAAATTGTCTGCGACCGTGGCAGAGGCCTCTGGGACTCTTCCAAACTGTAACTAAGATATCGAGAGGGCTAGGTATCTCGAACAGCGCTACTAACTACATCGATCCTACGCCGCGAAAATCGCGACGACTGAAGGAACTTTGCTGCATGTGTACCTCTATCTTTGGTTCAACTCCACACTGACCACATGTTTCATCATGTCAACACTTTTCGAGCAGTGAATCCTTGATGGGCAGTATGCCTTTAAGTGGCAAGTAGTCGATTCTACATGAACCCAGCTACTTCAGGAAAGTACTTATGGTCCACACGAAGCAAGATGATTCGATGTTTGCTGCATCTTTGAACGCATTCAACGGCTAATCAAAACTTCAAACTGCATCTGCAACTTTGCGTCTTCGTTGGTGCATTTGTCCGATTGCACCGTTGCGCGATAACAGTCATGGTGCTCACTACGGAACAGAAGGAAGAGCAGGCTAAGGAAGATGCATGGTCGATGGCTTCCGTTGCGCATTTCATCGATCACAAGGAGGATGATCCCACAGTCAAGGGTGTCGAAGATGCCCTCGGCACTGTGAGCATCGACTACGACTTGGGTGGCATCGGAGTTCCGTACGGAGTGGACCTCTGGCCGCACGACGGCCAATCGCTTCGGAAACTGGTGGGAGTCATACTTTCAGACACAACAAGGAGGGCGCCAGAACATCGAAACCTTACTGCTGTTCAAGCTCGAAGTTTGTTCTTTCAGCACGGTAGCGACGCTCTATCAAACGCTTATCGAGCACAGCTTGCGACTGCTATACAGCCGCCTCGGCTTGTTCCTCTCCATGGCGCGCAACATTCGGAGCCGGAATTTGAAGACGTTGCTTCACTGGAGAACGAGAATCTGGCGGGTGCGCAGACTGAGAGGCCAAGTGGTCGCGAGACAAGAGCCCAGAGATCTGCGAGACTGGCGGCGCCCGTAACGGCCTTGTCGCAGACGGCAGAACCTCAACAAGACATCATGCGGAATGCAAACGTGGTGGAAACGGCTCTCGCACAAGGTGCATCTCCCGACCATGGGGATGACGATCAGCAGCCTTTTCAGCTGGCAAAAAGCCCTCCCTCCAATCTTGTGCAACCATCCAACTCAGACAGGACCGCAACTTATGCTAGCGACATCAGAGCAGCCACGGCTTCAAGCGCAACACAGATCGCCTCGCACGCGCCCCAGTCCACTTTGGGCAAGCGCAAGCGCATGGACAGCCGGGCTGAGGAGTTAAAGAGCAAAGATATTGGCAACGGTCGAGCCAAGAAGACTAAGGTACGGACGAATGCTGCTTTGCAAGACGAACATGCAGCTTCCATGCCAAGCCTCACGCGAGACTCGATAGAGCCAGCTGCTTCAGGAGCAGAGCACAATCCAGAGATACCTTCTGAGCGAACAAAGCAACAGCCCTCTCGCAGAAAAAGAGCCCAGAACGATGAGACCGGGTCGGCATCCCGACCGCTCTCGTCGCAGCCGGCAAAGACAGGACAAGTCACAGCGCAGATCGCAGCCGCTGAGGAATCAGCTCTCGAAAACACTTCACTCGCCTATGATGGAGATGCTCAGCCTGAAGTGAAGCTTCTCCCAAATGTCGACAAAACGAGAGCAAAAGGCATGCCTGCATCCAAAGCTGCGCGTGACACTCAGAAAAGAAATCTCGATCATATGGTGAGAGTGGCAGACGGTGGAGAGGCGAAGTCACTCGACCAAGACGATGCCGTGCCTCTCGACAACGTGGTAGGATATCAGCCGAGTACGACAATCCAGCCCGGTCTGCTTGTGCCGACAGCAAAACCGAGTAAACGCAAACGCAATGGAAGCCATGTTCTAGCAAAGGAGGGAGAAAGCACTGGCATTGGTCCAGCTACGAAGAGGCAAAGAACTCAGGCATCTACTACTTCGACATCGAACAATGTGGACACTGAGCCACTCCCCCAGAAAGGTCTAATGCAGGCTGCTACATCTGGACCGAATAGCGCACACGGACGTCTTTATGGGGGCGGGTCCGGGACACATGCAAAAGACATTGTGCCGACTGGAGAGCTGCAACACGATGAACTCAGAACACGCATTGCCAACCAAACATCAACAGGAGATGTCGAAGAGGAGAATGCCAATGATCCAGACGTCGACGTAGCGGATGGCATCCCCGCCAATTTTCGCACCAACTCAAAAACACTTCTCACTGAAATCGGCGGCGAGATCTCCGATACCACTATCTGGACGATGGAATTGCCAACTGTCCTTGGAACAGTCGACGGATGCTTGCAGAAGGCACTGGACATCATCTTCACAGATGCGGCCGGGCGTGCTGTTTCCACGCTTGCGCTCGATCCGACGGAGCCTCTGTTCAATCTGTACGTCGTCATATTTGGAAAGAGTTGGCGCTCGGTGTCACTCAATGCCAGAGCTGCAGAAGACCAATACGATCACACTTCTTCGATTCCTTTCAGTGCTACGAACGTGCTACGCTGTCTTATCTGGCATGCCCTCACCTTCGAGATCATGGACAAGGAACAGCTGGACGATGCTGTGTACGCACTGATAGAAAGAGCTCAGACATACCTGCGAACGGCCCTCAGCGGCAGGGAAGGTGCCTATCACACCCTCCTTCGACGCAGCTCGAAAGCTCAATTTACAGACCCAGATTTTGTTGACGGTACACTGATGTTCCACGCTGATGAAACAGCATACAAGCTCATGGCTCTGTTAGAGCAGCACCTTGACGCGCTGAGTCTTCCTCGCAGACCTCAGAACTGGCGAATGCTTTTTGCCAAACAGCTGCGCCAGGTCTGTAAGCTGGCATTCTTTCTCAAGGCTCGATTAGCAGCGGAGAAGACGAAAACCGAGCTTTGGATGTACAGGTATGGTACACAAATCGAGGGTGCCCCAGACGGCTCAGAGCATGGTGAGAATGACGCTCCAATCGTTCTGCTGACGAGGACACCTGGGATCAGGAAGTTGGGCGTTGATGGGTCGTGGCAGGACGTGGTGGATTTGGAGGTTGAGTATTGCAGGCCAGAGATGCAACATGAAGAATGGTGAGTCCGAAAGAGAAGTTCGATGAGTACTGAGACTAGCATGAATGTTCCAGAAATGCACGTTCACAACTATTCATTCATTGATGCAACAGACCTGAAAACCCTAACAAACATGTCTCAAACAACTGATCCTCATACCTTCCACATCGAAAGTCCACATATTAACTCACCGTGTCTCTACAGTCTTTTCGATGCATTCAAGATGCCGCGAAAATCAAAGAACCAGACGGGGCCCTCCAACAGGAGGGCCATGCGAACCATCCTCCGACATGTTGATGCAAACCTCGGCACTCTCACCACGAAAGCGCATCGACTGAACTGGCTCAAACCCCTCGCAAGCAGTGGGAAGTTCCCCTATACCGGCACCCAGGAGATCGGAGCTTATCACAACGAGGACACTCTGCACGAGGCCATCACATATGCTGTACGTGATGCGAAGAAGGACGAGTACAAAGTTCTGGCAGGCCGCCGTGCGCTGGATCGCTTTTTTGAACTCGGCAGCGCCATGCTCACTGGCGAGTATCTTGTCGCCATCGGGTATACGTTCCTTGATGACTCTGGTGCTTTACACCTTCGAGATGAGACAGATGCTTTGAAAGATGACTCGATACGAGCTGCAGGCAGAGTGGGCACTGCAGCTTCCATCAAAACAGCGAAACAGCTTGCATCTGGTTCCAAGGCAAACGACCGGGAGAAGGTTCTCATGGAGGATTTGCCAAATGCCCAATCAACACACAAGAATGATGAGTCAAGTCCGACGGGGACTCAAAACGGAGCAAGCGAAAATGCATTCGAGCCCCCAAAGCATCGTCCGATCGACTTCCAGCCAGACCAGCATGATGGTGCCCATCCCGCAGAGTCGCCCGACATCGTCTACGAACCTGTGCCTACTTCCGCAGGAATCAAACGCAAGTTCGTTCAATTCGTCGACAGCGATTCAAGGTCTTCTCCAGAGAACCAAATGGTGCTCGACCCGGAAAAATTGGATGCCCTTCGGCTGTGGGAGGACATCGAAAGATTGACCAAAACGATCACTGAGCTTTCCAGGAATCTTTGTACACCTGCTCAGACCCTGAAGCTGAACAGCTCGCCGTCGACCTCTCTCGAAAGCATCTACGCTCACATCTTCAACACCGTAGATTGGAGGCTGGCGTGCGACCACCTGGTCAAATATGGTGAGATCAAACCATCTGCGTTCCTGCAAGCTCTTTTCTGGATATTTCTCAGTCTTCGAGTTCTTGAAAGTCAGCACTTTCCCCCTGGAGAAGATTCCAAATCGCCTGTCCCATCAAATTCTGGGGCTGCCCTGTTGGCTTCGCTCACGAAGTACACCGAGCAGTATCCACGAAAGGAGGCCATCGAGCATTTCTACAGGTCCAACACGATGACCACTGTAGTACAGCCACATGCCAAAGTCCTTGCTGATGAACTTAATGCCATAGTAGCCGAGCATTTGGCCGTTGAAAGCTCCTCGCCCAGTTCAGATGCTGAAGTGCACAACTTGTTGTCATCGTCCATCGACACTATGCAAGAAATTTGCGTCAAAGCCAGCATACTCAGAGGCCTCATCGACATCTCAAAGGGCAAGTACAGACTCCTCAAACATCTTCCAGGATCAGACATCTACCACCGGCGTGAATTGAACTCCTTCCAAAACACATTATCAGAAATCCGTCGTGAAACAATCGTAGCTTTCACAATTGCACCGGGTCTGGAACGGAAGTTGGAGGATGCGGATACTTACACCGTGGTGGGTCCTGCAACAATTGCCGAGTTGCGGAAGTAGGCGGCTGAGGCGCCGGCGGATCACATACGTTCCATCAGAGAGTTATGCACGCATCCTTTCCCGCTGGTGCCTTGGCGTGCAGCAGATTGTGTAGGTGGCTTTGCTGCCTATCTGAGCCGTGCATGAATGGCTTATTACGAGGAATGCGAGGCTATGAGGATCCGGGTCTTAGGGCATGCTTTGACACGTGGGCGTTGGAGGCTGTTTCCTAGTGGAGAGCATGTCAAGTCTATCAGGAGTTCGTAGTTCGCAGTCACGAAGTAGAGAACAAGATCGGTCGCGAAAGTAGGCTCAATGTTCTGCTGAGCATGAGTCTTGAAATTGAATTCAGCGATTAAAGTTGCCTTCTGCATCCTATGCATCTATCTAGGCCATCACTAGAGGCCTCTATGCTAACCTGTACAGCGCTCAAAAAGCTACCAGAACCAAAATAAACTTCATCATCACATCAAATTACGCAGTCTTCTCTTCCGCGACCTGCGAGGTTTGCTGCTGCTGTAGCTGCTGCTGCTTCGCTTCCTCGGCCTCCTTGCGGGCCTTTCTGGATTGCTTTGGTACTCTCGCCAACCAGTACAGGAAGACAGCAGCGCCGGTGTTGAAAATGATGTACACCCACAGAATGCCAAAGTTTCGCCATCTGTCGCCGTAGCTGATGCTGACGCCTGTCAAGAAGGTGTTCGAGTCGCTGTATGTGCAGTATTCGCACTGCGAAGTCGAAGACGGATCCCTGAGGTATCCGACGTTGAATGTATCGTTCATGTACTGCTGGAGGTAGTCGCCGCAATTGCTGAAGCCTTCTCCCACGTTGAATCGGAGGAACTCGTTGGAAGCGCATTGCACGTTGGTGTTCGCGATACCAGTAGAGAGCAGGCCGCTGACCAGGTAGGTGAATGGCGAGACGCGGTACATGAAGATCCAGAAGCCAGGTAGGACATCAGGTCCTGCAAGGACACCACAGAAGATCAAGCAGAGGGAGAACATCAAGTTGGCGATGTTGCCTCCAGTCTCAGCAGAGCTCATTCCAGCGATGACCATGGTCGTGAAAGTCGAAGTGAAGAGCAGGAACTGCCACATGAACAAGAAGAAGGTGAATCCTCGAGCAGCGACTTCGCCTCCGGCATTGCCGTACAATCCGACGGGATAGTAGTAGCAGAAGTACATCAGGACAGCCATCAGGGAGTTCCAAGGAAGTTCGACGACGATGTTGGCGATCATGAACGACTGCCAGCTATAAGTCTTGGAAGGACGCTCACGAACCTCGTACAGAGCTCGTTGTGTGACGAAGTGAGGCATAATCTGCGAAACCAGCTGTCCGAAAACCGTAAAGATCATGAAAATCGAGAACATTTGGTTCGTCAGACCTTGTTGGGTAAGCGGTGCCTTGAAGAAGATGAAACCAACGAACAACGCCGCACCGACACACAGTGCAGTCTTGGACCAGATGTAAGAAGGTGTGCGCCAGTATTGAGCAAACACACGCTTGGTCACTTCAAAGGTCTGTTGACCGAAAGGTGCGGCGAACTCTCGGTAGCTGTCCTGGTCATTGGCACCTGGAGCAGCTTCGGTTGGTTGTGAAGATCGAGTGATGCGGATGTTCTCCAGTTCCTTGTGTGTTTGCTCATACTCTGGACTGTCCCGCCAGACTTGATGCCAGTCGATTTCGGTGTAAGAGCCTGGAGCCGCGCCAATTACTTCCAACATCCATTCGGCAGGGTTAGCATCCTTTGGACAAGGCTTAGCACCGTTGCGCTCAAAGTAGTTGGAAAGGATGTTGGAGTTGGTGCCGACCTCGCCGAAGTAGACAGTGCGGCCTCCCTTTGCGAGGAAGAGAAGTCGATCAAAGCGCTGGAACAACATAGCTGAAGGCTGGTGAATGGTGCACAGAATGGCCTGTCCGGAGTTCTTGAGCTTCTCCATCAAATCGCAAATAGCCCAGGATGTCTGAGAGTCAAGTCCGGAAGTAGGTTCATCGAGGAAGAGAAGCAGTTGTGGCTTCGCTGCGAGCTCGACACCGATAGTAAGACGCTTGCGTTGTTCCACGTTGAGACCTTCGCCAGGAACACCGACAACAGCGTCGGCGTATTCTTGCATGTCGAGGAGCTTGATGACTTCGTCCACGTAGGCAATTTTCTCTGAACGTGGTGTCGACCTTGGCTGACGCAGGAGTGCACTGAACTCAAGCGCCTCGCGCACAGTCGTGGTAGACAAATGCAGATCTTGTTGCTGAACGTAACCGGTCTTGCGCTGGAAAGAGGAGTCGCGCTGCCTTCCGTCGACGAGCATATCACCACTGATGACACCCATTGTAACACGAGTGGCAAGCACATCAAGAAGTGTCGTCTTACCGGCACCAGATACACCCATAAGGGCAGTCAAAGTGCCAGGCTTGACCCAACCATCGACGTGGTCCAGAATGCGACGATCTTGGCCTTTGATTTTGATGTCATAGCAGACGTTTTTCCACGAGAAGATCGCTGTCTGCTTCTGGATGATATCGGTTGCCTCAGTATAGCTGGCGGTCTGAGTCAGAGCATTGGCGTCGCGCCCAGCGGGCACGCTCTCCTCGTCCGCAACTTTCTCCTTGAGCGCGGCGGGAATGTGTCCTCGCTGGAAGACGAGAACTTCGCCCTTGGACTTCTTCGCCTGGATGAATTCAACGGCAGTCAAGTACACGCCCATAAGACCAATACCAAACGCGATGATGATTCCGACGTTCCTCCACTTGTGCGAGGGGTAGTACGCGAAGGCGGACTCCAGGTATACAGTGCCCTGAACAACATCGAGGCCAGCTTCCGAGCCAACAGATGAGCAAACTCGAGATCCGTCCTGTAGACTACCATAAGTAGCTGGAACGAAGGCTGAACACGCGTATTCGGTTCCGGCAAATTCGTTGACCATAAGTGACTCGAATGTGTAAGCAACAGGATCGATGTAGTTGATCCACCTGCACCATCCCAGCATGTAATCGGTCGGAATCGCGAAACCAGTGAAAATGACGATGGCCAGCATGATGACTGCAGCGGGAGCCATGGCTTGAGACAGCGTTCGAGATACAGATCCGATCGTTCGGAACAGCATACTCATCGTCACGGTGGTGAGGAAGGATACCAGAAGGAAGAAGAAGAATGCGCCCGCCTCTCGCTTCAGATTCACCATGAAGTACAGTGGGATATTGAAGGTGAAGGCGTTGATGAACTTGTACGGCATGTCCGTAAGCATCGAGGCCCATGCTTCCGCAGAAGGGTGGTAGAAGGCGTAGCGATCATGCTTTTCCACGATTGGACGTTGTGCGTAGAGAGTCAGAATTTCGAGAGCCGAGCCGAAAGCGTTGATCAAGACGGCGAAGAACAGGACTGCGCCGCGTGAGAAGAAGGAGTTCGTATCGTACGACATGTTGTAGAAGACCGAACCGAGAATGAGAGCCATAATGAAGTTTCCGAAGAGTTGGGTGAAGGTGAGTTCCGGATCACCTGTCAATCGACGAAAGCCACGCCAGAGACACAACTGGACTTGTTGTGTGTAGGATAGCGTGAAAGGCGACTTGATGCGCTGACCCTTGGCTTGTTGTTGCTTGCGGCTGTCGACGAATTGTTGGTAGGCCTCTCCCTTGAATGGGAAGCGCTTGTCGTAAGCATCGATGTCTTTGAGCAACTGCGCTCGCTCAGGACTGTTCTTCCACACTTCAGCGAACTCATCTGGCGTCCTCGGCACTCTCTTCTCCCATCCAGGGCGGACAACACGTTCCTGAGCAGATGTCATAGATGTCAGGAAATCGGCTGTAGTCTGGCGATCAGGGCACTGGAATCCGATGTTCTCAAAGTACGCTCGTGTCTCGGTAGTGCGTCCGAAGAAAATCTGCCGTCCTTCGTAGAGCACGATCGCTTTGTCGAATTGATCGTAGGCAGACTGAGGTGCTTGATAGATGGCTACCATAGCAGCGCAGCCTGCGAGCTCGGCGCTGAGACGTACAGTCTTACAGAACTCGATTGCGTTGGCGGAGTCCAGACCACGGGTGGAGTTGTCCCAGGCCTGCAGCGGTGCACCACTCAGGACAGCCTCCGCGATGGAAACACGCTTTCTCTCACCACCTGAGACGCCGCGGATGAAGTCGTTTCCAACGCGAGTATTGATGGTATGGCTGATACCGAAGGCGGCCATCACCACATCGCGAAGATGTTCAGCCCAAGCATGCTTGCTGACGCCTCCTGGGGTCTCCCGCGGAGCTCGGGCCCTGGCAGCGAAATAGAGAGTGTCTCCGACAGTGAGCATAGGAAAGTGCACATCCACCTCTGCGGTATAGATAGCTTCACCACGGAAGTATTTGTGCATCTCCTTCGCTGGTACACCCTGGTAGTTCAGGTATGATTGAGAATCCACTTCGAAGCCGTGAACCTCTCCGGTCATCGTCTTCAAGAACGTCGAGCAGCCAGAACCAGGTGGGCCGAGGACGACGAGCATCTCTCCACTCTCCACTAGACCTTCAAAGTCGCGAAGGATATCGATTCGGTTTGGCTTGGCCAGCCCAAGCAGCGACTTGACCATTCCGACTCCCTCTAGCAGCACGTTTGTGACATTCTTTTGATAATCTGTGCCTGAGCCCCAACCATGTGCACTGAGACCGCGAAACGCGACTCCTCCAGTTCGTTCTTTGCCTCCCTCCTCCTTGCTCAATTTGAGGACACTCTTCATCCATGATCTTGCCCGGAAGTTCGATGACTGCGGATCCAGCTCGGAATCCTTCTCGGCTTCGAAAGGATTTGACGGGACTTGACTCCAGTTTGTGATTGTTCGAGCGAGTCTGTTTATTTTTTTGTCGGCGGAGCCTTGGGATTCTGAGTCTGATTCGCCTTTGCGCTCCGGCGTGGAGTCTTCGTATGGTTCCACTGCATCGCCCTTCTCGAGATCGTGAAGGGCCGCACTCGGATTTCGGTGAACTTCCGGCCGCTCAGCTCGAGCTGCTGATGATCTTCGTCTGTTGAACATTCCGCCGGATGTGATTTCTTCAGCTTCTTCGTGAGGAACGCTCCCTCGTCGGTGGAAGGCTAAGCCCGATGCATCTGGAACTCCAGATCGCTCTGCCGTGGAGTCGTAGTTGTGAAAGACATTGCCCACGAAAGCCATATTGCTTTCCGGTACCGCGCCCTCGCGCTCTGCTGCCTCGCCGGGCCAAGGTATTTAGCCTGCGCTCAGTGCGGGCGAGTTATTGCGCAGAATGTGGGGGCTCTGGTGGAAGTAGAAGTGAAAGTGGGAGCCTTGAAGGTCGTTTTCCGTGCCATCGCAAAACTGTCGAGGGAGAAAGTGCTTTTATTGTGTGATCAGCCACTCCATGCATAACAAACAGCGTTCCGAATGCCGGGTGGATTGGCGTCATAGCGAGCTAGATGCACAAAACCGATAGAGCGGAAGTCTAGGCCTGATTGGTCGGAAAGAATGCACTTAGATGCCAAGATCGGCAATGTCTGCTCGTGGAATAGGGCCCGAATGCTCGTGCACCTGCATGAAACGCCCATTTTTGACATTGCTGGTAGCACAACCACCGTCGTACGTGCCTGTCGGTGCAATTATGCGGTGACCGTCTCCGGAGAGCATTGAAGTGCTTGCGGTGTCCCGGTGCATCAGGTATTGCTGCTTCGTTTCGGTTCCGATGCGATTTCTGGGCAGAGCTAGAGAAGTGAAGTGGCGCACCCCCTTGCGGAGGGCCGGGCCATCCACGGGACAGCTTGGCGGCACGAGTTTATGCACAATTTGTGCACGGATAGAACTTCACCCTTTGTTCGCCACGATCCACACCTGCAAATTCATCCTCCACGCGCTGCACCCGCTATAGAGCTAAGCGGTATTAGCTTGCGTGGCCACGCTCCTCTTGCATATCCTGTGGAGATTCCGAAACACGTTGAAGATTGCCTCATCGTCTGCATAAAGTGCCCTATGTGGCTTCAGGAAGCTTGCGTACCGATACGAAGCACATTATGTTCATGTTCCTGGGACCATGGACGCGGTTTGCAAAGCTCCTGCCGTTGCCGTAGTTCACATTCACGCTCATCAGGCTGCAGGTTTGCGTCAGTTCCATCAATCACCTCGACGTCGAGAATTCCCTTCGCGCTCAGTCCCAACTAGACATAACGTAGGCTCATTCACGAATGACACAGATTCACGCATGTCTTTGGCCTGGGAATTGTACATTCCAATACAGGAACATGCTGGCCAGACATCAACCATCTCACTCACCGGAGAGCGCTCCCCGGCAAACACAGGATAGGTGCAACGCCTCGTGTATGTACGAGGTTACGAGGCCAGAAGGCTGACCAAGCGAGCACACGAGCTATGTCCTAAGCACTGGCTGCAGTTCGTGTGTCGATCGGAGGACCCTCAATTCTCGGTAATCTGCGCGCCATATTTTTGGACCCTGCCATAGCTGCACGCTTTCTAACATCTATCATATGCCAACATGAACGAAAAGCCCTTCTCTTCCACAGGTTGAGATATGCATGGCACAAAAGACAGCGTCCCAGATCACTAATGGATATGAGACGCTTCCGGGGAATCCCATCCGAGCCCCAAAATCACGCACAGCGTTCTCGTCATCACTAAGCACTAGTAGGCGGAGCAGGAATTGCATACCTATGCCCTACTCGACTCTGGAAAGCTTGATTCCGTGCCCCGAACCACTGGACACTGCGTCCCGAAAACAAAGTCTCCATGCATATTGACTGGACAAGCCAATTGTGGATTTTATATATGGCAATGATGACAAACGCAAGGAGTTTCTGGAACCACTGATTTCTGTTCTCCACGGGGGACCCATTCATGTACCTGCTGAAAGCCATGCGTCCGAGCAACATTCTTGCCAAGACTGCAGAAGGTGCCTGGCTGTTCACTTGAAGACCTGGTGGTACTGCTATCAGTCTTTGACTCAATGACCAGGATTTCGCATCAAAAGGCCAATTTCAAAATCAGACATCATGTGCTGCTTTACTGGCTGACACACGCAGGCTCGAGTAGTTGAAGTTGTTCGAGAACCTGGAGACAAGTACCGATTGTCTGCGGTACCCAGTTCTGCATGCTACATTTTGAGCATGGATATCGCAGTTGAAACCACGATCACTCGACTACAACTACATGTTCTCCAAGAAGCCTAATCGCTATACTGTGTGCTAAGGTTCATACCATGTCGACCCACCACGTGGTTGGAAAGCCAAGAGACACAGCCTCGTCATCATACCACGATCAGGCATCTGTATTCTTGGCACCATGACCTCCAAAAGAGAACTACCTGAAAGAATACTCATTAACAGTACATGTGGTATCAAAAATCAGAGCGAGCTAGTTGATGTGAGGCAGATTGCCTCAGATCAGCGCTGCGATACAACTCGCTTTTGGCCTCGAGGTCTACTGAGGCTTTGACTGTGTACTGCTGTCTCGATCTCAGACTGCGCTTTCTGAAGCCCATCAAAATCTTGGAGCGCACAATGCATCGCGCCATAACGATTACGGCACCGGCCTCCAAATGTGATGCTCTGGTCGAGCTCTGATATCCATGTGTCCGCTACTTCTCCGGTTGTCTTCACTCCACGAAGCCAATGGGTGCAAACACGACATGCAGTTCAGCCACTTCTTTCTGTAGGAACCAAGCTGTGTTCCTTCTTTTCTCTGTTTCTAGCCCAATCTGCAAAGCTATTGAATACACATCCTTCATGCAGTTCAGTCACTTCCTTCTGCTGGAGATAACCCCTCTGCTAGCTTTGTCTCTAGCTCCGTTTGCTCTGCAATGACAATGAATGTAGACACGACATGCGGTACTGCTGCTTTCTGCCGGAGGAGACGGGCCATGTCTTGATCGCTCTCTGATTAGATCCACTCTGCAACGGCAACGAGGGAGAAAATGAGCTCCAGTTCAGCTACCTATTCCTCGGAGACAGACTATTTCTCCCCGTCGCACCTGCAGCTACTACACTCCCAAGATCTCGACGTCACTCGAGGAGCGTCTGGAAGGAGACAGGCGTACTGCTTCGTCAAGTCAATTCTACTCCTCATACCGATGGCCACGCAACTAACGAATCTTGCACAATCGAACATAGGATATGTCTCTGCCCTATTGAAGAGCGAATGTCGATATAACCTCTCGAGCTAGCAAGTAGTGTGCCGTCGTATCCCAAGGCTACAAGGCATTCCCTCGTTACAGGCATGCATGCTCACCAACCAGGAGGGTTCAAACCAGTTGGTAGTGCCGCGCAGCACCAAGATGAGAAAAGGAAGACGTTGAATAACATAATAATCACATAGATTGGATATCTTCTTAGGACAGAGCTTCAAACAGCCTTCAGTTTGTCCTCCATCTATCATTCGCGCTCCCGACATTGACCCATGCATAACGCATTGCCAAATCTCATCGAAACAGCCCATCTTCCTCAACATCATCAAATCCTCCGCAAGCCAAATCTGACATTTAAGCAGAGACGGCAGCGTTGACAATGGCGTTGACAAGGACCTCAAGGTTGACCTGTGCGCAGACCCCCACAGCGGCGTTGATGGCAGCGGTAACGTCAACGGAAGCACCGGCCTGGACAGCAGCAGCAACGAGAACGTTGACCTAGAAGGGAAAATAATATTTAATTTGCGTTCGATGGGCGAAAAGTGTGCGTGAAAACTTACAGCAGCGGCAACCTGGACGTTGACATCCAAGTCCAAGTCGAGCTCAGCCTCAACTGAAGCCTTGAGAGCGAGAACAGCGGCGTTGAGCTCCACATCCACGTCAAGGTCAATGCCAACGGAGAGAGAGACGTCCTGAGAAGAGGTTAGTCACGGTTCAGAGAAGCAGAGCTCAGAATGACATACAATGACAGCGTTGATGAGGACAGAGAGGTCGACCTGGACACCAGCACCAATAGCAGCCTCAATAGTGGCCTGAAGCTGAGCAGAAGCGTCAACCTTGATAGCGAGGTCCAGGAGAGCCTTGAGCACAACGTCGACATCAACTTGAGCGTTCAAGTCCACGTTTGCGCCAACAGCGGCGGCGATCTCGGCACCGACGTTCACGTTTGCGTCCTAGAGGCTCGAGGTTAGTATATGGCTCACGTTCGTGGAAGGTCTCGACATCGCTCGCTTACCAAGTTAACGTTCAACTTAGCAGCCAAGTCGAGGATGTTGTCTGGTGTGCCTGCACCAAGGCTGAGTCCCAAGTCCAAGCTGAGTCCGAGATCAAGTCCGCTGTCGGAGCCAGCACCGCCGCATGAGTTAGGAGTGGTAGCTGGAGTCGTGGTGTTTGGTCGGTTGCCAGATGGGGTTGTGCCAGAAGGAGTGTTGCCAGAAGGCGTGGTGCCAGATGGTGTGTTTCCGCTTGGGGTGTTGCCGGAAGGAGTGTTACCAGATGGAGTGTTGCCAGATGGAGTGTTGCCGGAAGGTGTGTTTCCAGATGGTGTGTTTCCGCTTGGGGTGTTTCCAGATGGCGTGTTGCCGGAAGGTGTGTTTCCAGATGGTGTGTTTCCGCTTGGGG